GAATGATGACAAAAATCCATTCCAAATTCTCAATTTTCAGAATATAAATAGCTTCGTTTACACTTTATAGTCGGGTGGCACGTGTGTGCACGTGCGTGAATGATACAGAACGTCAAATAACAATACAGTAGTTGATGGTTGACAAATAGATATTGCACGTTCATCACGAGAGAGATATGGTTGTCTGATTTGGGTCTAATTATTGGTATTATGAATGAGATATTACACGGTTTCGGTGAAATATCAGCTAACTTCATAATGCTCAATAATTCATTGTTTTTTATACAATCTTATTACATTGTGTATTAACACGTCGTCTTGATATTTAGGAAAAAGGATTTTAACAATATATCTTGCATAAGTTTCTTGGAATACTGCAGACTGTTTTGTTCCCAGCAGGACATGCTCAGCCTTTTTACTGAATTAAAAAAAAACTTAAGTACAACCTGTACAAAACATTGCATGGACAGTTTCAAACAAGTGGGATCCGAGGCACTGATCTCGAATTGAACTGGCACCGTATTCATGATTTACAATTCCGTACACCCATGAAAACACATCGGCTCTTGCCTGAGGACGACAAGGGGAACACGTCGAAACGTTGGATAAAACTTTAACCAGTGATTGTTGTTCCATAAAGCTGTGTCTTTATATCGTACTCACAATTGCTTAATGTCATTTAAAACTTGGTATATAGGGGTCAGGAGAGCTCCCTGATTAGATCCTATGGAACCTGAGAGATAAAGTAAATAGACGTGATCAATATGTCTCGCAATATGAGTTATAGCCGCGATCAATAAGTCTGTATATTAAAATGGCGCCATGACTGTATTTATTTCACGTTTATGATGTTCAGTTCATGTCTTCTGTCGACCTCTTGTCAATTCTGTCCATAAAACTATCAGAATTTATCTTTTTATTCACTGATAGATTCCATTACTAATGCTGATACGTATATTTATATTTTATAATATCACCTCCTTACCAATTTCAACTTTTTAATATTAACTTTAATTCAATCAGCAATATTAAAGATTGAGTTTACACAAAGATGTCTAACTCTTACATAATCTTTAAATATCTTTAAATATGGTTTAATTTCATGGTGATTCGGGTTGTGGCCTGCGTATGAAATCCTTCATAGGGTAGCCTATTTGTAAGACAAACAACAAAGTTTGTAAGCGTCTGAATTTCGCATTCGCCGTTAAAAAAAAACAAACAAACCCACCTTCAGGCAACGCAATGTGCATCCTTTTTTTTCTTGACCACATTTCAATCTCAAGATCTATGTAGAGTTTCAACAATATTTAAAAACAATGTTGGTTTGCCTAACAAAAGGACATCCAAGCTCTCAGAAGATGGCGAAAAAATTTTCTTCGGCAAAATCATTCACGAAGAATTGCTAAAAGTATTTTGTGTAGAAGGAAACTTGAAACTAGTATTCCGCTAATTCTATTAACATATTTCAAACAACTTCGTCAAGAATTCATTAACCTTCGCTACAATATATTATTTCTACCCGCTAAAACACATCACAAGATGGCAGATATCCCGCCATTTTGATTGATGATGTCATAACATGGCTGTCATAACAACTTAGATCACGTGTTGATTTACCGCCAACAACTAGCAGGTGAGAATCATTCTAGAGGAAATTTTACAAATTAATGAAATTTTCGTTCGCTTCAGTTATTTGTATAGTTGGAAGTAGTTCTGAATGTATAATTAACACCACGTTGTGTGTTTGAAATGAGGACGCGGTTATTTTGACGCCTGGTGTACTTCAAGAAGGGAGGCAAGACAGTGGTTAAGGTACGAAGACCCATTCGATACACGAAGGACAGGTAAAGGTATAATTTACTTTAAGACAATTTCGTTTTCGTCCAAGTTAGAAAATTCCGTTCTGTTGAAAATGCGACACAGAAAATATGGAAGCTGAAACTGTCAATTGAGATCTACATATAATAAAGTTAAGAAAAAATCAAGGAGGCCTTAGATTCTTCACTAGAGTTCGTGCGCGACTATTTTTTAACGGCCAGTTCAATTTCATTACTTTAAATCTCCGTTTATCACAATGTTTGTAGGTTTTTTAATGGTCGAAGGGACATAACTCATACCCTTCTTTCATAACAGAACATTAGTGACTACGACCACAATTAAATTGTGATATTTAATATGTTCCGACACGAAATGACACGCTTGTATATAGGCTATCAAATAAATGACTGTTTTATGAACCTCTAACACAAAAAGAAGACAATTTAAATTTATAGAAAAAGCTTCCACTTTTCAAGGGCGATAATTTCCCCGTCTGCCGGATCTCTCGACAGTTATTTATGAACACTTCGCGTTACAACTTCTCTTTTAGCCCGGCCATAAACGTTTGACTTCAAACAAGCTCGGCCATAAAATAGTTACGGAAGCTTAAAAAGTGGCATTTTAAACGATTAAAAGAATCCATAAATAAGAGGAGAGATATTTAAAACACGGTAGAGGCTGACAGATCTACGAGCAATAAAATACAAAAATAAAAGTGTAATTGTTTTTACGAGATTGAAAAGAGTAAGAAGAAACGAAACTATTTTGCATGCGTTTTATCTTCAGTTTTAATGACGTAGAACGCTAATCCGTTAATTACTTTTGAATTCATCTTTTAGTTTACACCCCATGGTTAGTCTTCTTTAGATTTTTTTGATGGATATCTTACTTTGTTCACTTTTGAGTTCGCTTCTCCGAATATTAAGATGAATTGAAACAAAGGGTATAGAGTACATTAATACTTCTACAAATCTTTACATTCAAGACGTGTATAGAAAAGCGCCATTACCAAAATCAATAACTTCTGTATTTGTAGTTTCGAACAAAGTTATTTCCGCTCATAGAGTTCGATTCAAAATACAAACGAGAACGGCCCACTTTAGGTAGGTTTAAGTAGAAATCAACTCAATATAAAGCCTGGTTGTCGCCAAGGGTGTATTTAGTGAGACGGCCATAGGTATATGGCTATCCTTCTGGCCTGAAAGGTCTTATTTTGAAGTGAAAATTAAGCCCTCTAAATGCTCAGAATTTATCTCAAGCTATTTCTGAAAGTCCCTAGTCCCCTGAACTAAAGGGTTTCGGCATTTTGGGCCACACCTCGGAGAGGCACTTCTTATTTTTGGCCTTCCCATCAGACATTTTCTAGATAGTCTCAGGTTGTCACTATTGGATGTTTACAAGCAACTTCAAGTTTAATCTTTATAGTCTTATCAAACTATTCATTCTTTACCTAAAAATATCAGACATAAATTTGCTTGACTATATATTATACAAGTATGAAAGTTCATTGATCGAAGGGAAATAATCCATGTTGCAATTCAACTGATGTACATACTAGACTACGACCACAACTAATTCATCAGACTTTCTCAGAAAATACATTTCGCTTTCAGACTAGCCTTTGTTTTCAGATAGTTCCACGAAAGGTTTTTATAATTTTCTCCATGCAGTTGATGTTTGGAATCATTCATGCACGTGCATAAATACTTTTGTCCTACATTCGTTCAGATTGGGATGATATTGTCTATATACCACAAGATATTGATGTGAACATTTTATTATAAAATAAAGAAAGTATATAAGATTTGTACAATAAAAATATTTCTAGATATTTACAAATTACATAAAATATAAAATATGAATTAAAATTAAAATAGTATAAAATATATCCTTTATAAATAACAGTGATAAAAAATCTACCATAGAAAAAAGTTTAGATTTGAGCACATTGAAAACATCCTTTGTAGCTAATCAAGGGTTTTGGAGTCTTTTCAGTCTTGTTTTTTAGCTAGTGGGAAATAGTAATGAGATTTGGTCCATTATATTAATTAAAATTCAGTGCCTTTAAAATAGACAATATTCTAAACGAGAAATATAATATATATATATTATATCGAGTTTCACTCAAAAGCTCAAGGTGGAAAGTTCATATCATGGCCCTAGTTTGACTATCGGAGACACTTATAGCGGAGTCAAATTGTAAGTGTACCTGATACAGAGTCAAATGGTAAGTGTACCTGATACAGAGTCAAATGGTAAGTGTACCTGATACAGGGTCAAATGGTAAGTGTACCTGATACAGAGTCAAATGGTAAGTGTACCTGATACAGAGTCAAATGGTAAGTGTACCTGATACAGAGTCAAATGGTAAGTGTACCTGATACAGAGTCAAATGGTAAGTGAACCTGATACAGAGTCAAATGGTAAGTGTACCTGATACAGAGTCAAATGGTAAGTGTACCTGATACAGAGTCAAATGGTAAGTGTACCTGATACAGAGTCAAATGGTAAGTGTACCTGATACAGAGTCAAATGGTAAGTGTACCTGATACACATATACAGGCGAGAACATCAGAATGGTGTAAAAAAAAGTTATAAGTGTCTCTGATACACTCACAAATACTTGAAAAAACTGTTTTGACATTATTTTACTGGATAACTGGAATACACTTTACAAGATGGTAACGATAAAGTCAATAGACGCGATGGAATATATTTTAAACAACTAACAACAGTAACAATACACACATATAACATTTGATAAAATTGCACTTGTAAGTATTTTGATCAATGGGAGGCGATGGGGGTGGGGCGCGTCATGGACGTAGGGGGTGGTGGTAGCAACGGAATTGTTACCTGCGATAGATATTCCATATATTGATAACAAGGAACAATAAAGACAAGACAATAGCTGATGTGGCAACATGACGTTCTATAAACATCCGGGTCAATTCCAAACATAAACAGAACAATCCACTATATATTGAGGTAGTTCAAGTAGTAATGTACATAATATAACTCTGGCTTATGAAGGTTCAATGGTCATTTATTTTACCCCGAATCAAAATAGACTGGTCTTGTTTATGTTTGGAAATATCCGGGCAATAAACAATGATCTATTTTGTTTCGTGTAGCAGGTTCCCCTTATTCTTTACCCTACCCCCTGGTTTTAATGAAAGTGTCTATTTGTTGCCCGTGCTGTAAAATGACGGGTCATAGGTCAAAAGGTCCTGTTGAGGCATGAAGGCTTTACCATTCGTACCGGAAATAGAACCATTATACAGCGAAGGTGGCGCTGTGGAAGCGGGATAACTCTCATATATTGGTTTTCTCATCTTCCGGTTCCTCCTGTAATTTATATGTCATATTGTAATACAATACGCATACAAAATTTATTCATATTCTTTATGAAACCAGACGCTGGCTACCCTTTGCCTCACAGATGGGAACACCATCTTCATTTGGTGCAGAGCTTGGAAAGGCACCATTTTTTCTAAAAAGCTGATACCATCTCTATTATTGTAAGGAGCGTCGAATTAAACAATGGTACTAAATCAAAACTTACCTGGTGATAGCACAGATGATACAGGCTATAATTAACAATAAAAACGCTGTAACACCGACTACAACTCCTATTATAATATCTGTCATACTGCTCGCCGTCGATGGTGCTAAAAATAGAACATTTGAAATCATTATGGTTTCATTCATTGATTAAAAGAATTGGTAACAACGTTTCGGATTTGACCCATCTTTTTAGCCTTTATGATTTTGTCATGATAATGTCAATTTTGAGAAAGGGATGGAAACTCCTTGTTGAAGAGTAGATTGAGGCTTTCCTTTCTGAATTTCTAAACTAATTTTTAGTAAGTCGTGGTATAAAGCCGCGAATAGACGAAGAACGGTGTCCGGTGTGGTGTGTGATGCGAAATAATCGGTACAAACGAAAATAGAAGAAATGAATACACGAGGTACAGGTCCGGACACGGTGTGGATACGATTCGTTTCTTCTATTTTCTACTGTATCAATAATCTCGCACAGTACACCGCACTGGCACCGTACATCGTCTATTCACACCTCAAGTCAGACAAATTTGCAAAATAATAATTAATTATAGTACTCAGAATGTGGAACCTGAAAAGGCATGCAGTGATATTAACCCAGGCGTAGAATGCAGTTAGAAATTGGCCTACTTTTCAAAAAAATTTGGATTTGGATGAATCAATTAAAGATTGACCCTAGTGCATGCAGGTCTTTGCTAGCAGCACAAGGGAATTTTTTTGTATGCTACTTACCGACTCTCTCTCGGCACCGTTCACCTCTATAATTCTCAGCACAGAAACAGAGAATACTGGAATCTCTTCGACAGGTGGCGCCATTCTCACAATACCCCATATCACATGCATCTGTAATATAATATCGGGTGATATATTGGACTGGAGTTTTACGTCCTAGTTTTATACAGTGGACTCCCGTTTAACCGGCTTCCGATAATCCGGAAACCCCATGCTCTGTGAACATTCGAAAGAGATAAAGATCTTTGCAGTGGATGGAATAATTTCACCCTAAAAGCTATATGTTTAGGTTGTGAAACCCGACAAAACTGTATTTTTGCATTTCAGCAATTGATGCCAACACATTGTCATAGGAGCTGTTTCTACGGCGACTGTGAAAGTATGAAAGCACTATTCAGGTTGTTGATTGTCCAGTCCCATTTATCTTTAGTGGTTTTTGGAAGGTTACATTAAATCAGCAAAGAAAGAAAACAGGACAAATATTATCTTGGAAACAAAACAGAAATCTTTGTATACATACGTGAACAGTTTTTAGCGGTACCGAAATTAGGCAGACGACATTGACATTCAAATCCACCAGGAACATCAGTACAGGTTGTTGGTTGAGTACAGTTATTTCGACCTGTTTCACATAGTGCTGTAAACAGAGAATCAAATGGGATTAAAATAGAGTTTTACTGCATTTGATTTAATAATGGTTAATGACGATGGACAAAACTCAAGAAGAGGAGAAGGGGTATTGTCTAATAAAATTGAAAGATGTACTTTTCAGCATCTTTGATAGTGCTTATGAAGACAGCGAATTTAACCTTTAGTCAAATGCCCTGGACCAATGCGTGAGGGGTTTAACCAGATGATGGACGGAAAAAATGAAATGCTTTCAGAAGGGACATAAATGATTAAACAGATCATAATGCGAGCATTTTCATATAATACTTTATAGACAATTCATACTTACAAATACAATTGGCATCCGAGGTTTGTCCATCGAGCAGGGTAATTTTATTATCTGGACAAGGAATACATCTAGACTGTACAGACAGCGATTGGTAGGTACCAGCTGGACATGGTTTACATTCTGTACCGGATACAAACGTTCCAGGATCACAGCGAGCTGGAAATACATACCATTGGATACAAATTACCCAAAGTGTTTGAAATGAAATGAAATGAATGGAACTTTTCTGCACCATGTGGGCTAATGAAGACGGCCAACGCCATGCAGGGTGCAATGTGCAATTTGTCAGGACAGTGGCATTAGCCTGCTCTTTTTCGATTTTCAACTGTCGATGTATCTTTAACGTGCACAGCCTCTTTTTATTGTCCCATCCGAACGATTAGACGCTTTTTCAATGTCAGCACCTCTTACCTGCCACAAACTGTTTGAGGACAAGTAGTGAAATAATACATGCATATATTGAACATTCGAAGATCGGTAGTCAGAAATGTGTTTATAGGTAACCCCCGGGATTAAAAAAGAAAAAGAAAAATTTCTCTGAAAATGGCAAATAACAACCAAATATCACACGAGAAATTTCTAACTCTCAGCATAGTATGAAGAATGGTGACGTACCAGGTAAAAAAAAAACTCAATCCCTTGCTTCTTGCAGGACTGTATGTAAAAACATTCTAAATACTTACGAACAGTGCATTCAGATTTCGATTTAGCCTTGAGTCCAGAAGTTGTAACATTAGCAGGGCAGAGTTGACAGGTCCACTGATCCAGAACGGAGCTGTTCCTATACCGACCCATCTCGCATGGCTCACAAATATTGGTCGCTTCATTCACCGCTTCTCCCGAGGGACAATCTCCTGTAATTGCATTGTAATATACATGAAAGGGATTCGAACCCATGGCACCTTAAAACCCGATAACTGGATCCAAACTGAGAACATATTGCAAGGATTTGTTCTCCAACGCGAACACTAATTACACAAGAAATTATTTTCTTAATTAATTACAGATCCTCAAAAATATGATTAAAGTTTTAAAACTGTAAATATAACACCAGGTTTGTCTGCAATTCATAAATACCCTCTTTAAAAGTAACAAGTCATACTAGTCTCTGAGACTAGTCTCCAGACAAACCAGTGGTGGAGCCAGGTTGACGTCCGAGGGAAATATCTAAGGTTTCCCGAATTTCTAACCTAGTTATGCAAGTCATGCCCGAAAAACTTGCATTCGGGTAAGTACATCGTTAGAGCGACGGTTAAACTTTCCCATGTTTGAACCCAAACTTCTAACATGGCAAGCAATGGTAAATGTAGTCCAACTTACTGTAGCAGAATTGAGATGATGGAGCTCCGATCAGTTTAGTTGTAAAACCAAAAGCACAATTTTTACATGACGTCTGGTATTTCTCATCCTGGTACTGTCCCCTGGGGCAGACGTCACATTTATCTCCGTTTCTATAGAAACCGGCTATAGAGCAGTTAACTGGAAATATAAAGGCGCATTTAACGAATTTTTCATTTTTTCGAAATCATTGTCGAGGCCCTCTTTCGATTTTGACGGTCGACTTTGTACAATAACATAAAAGACGGTGTTCTATTCGGCAGATATTCTAAGCGTTCCTAGCCCCATGAACAAAATGTATGTGAGAAGTGAGAAGCTCAGACATTTTCTGAATGTCCAGAAAGATAAACCTCCAAATAAGTATTAACAAATCTCAGAAAAAATCCCGGAAAACAACTTACCAACATTACAATCAGTGATGCTCTCAGCTCCAGTCCCGGCAGTGACATTTACCGCGGGGCAGATCTGGCAGGCCGTCTGGGAGACAGAAACCTTATCTCTGTAATAGCCTATAGGACAGGGGTCACATACCCTAGTTTCTACATTATACTGGCTACCCTTAGGACAGTCAGCTGGAATAGAAACAGAATGGAGTCAGCAGGGTCAGATATAAAAATAGAATTGAGGGGATCTGTAGAATCTTTCCTCATTATTTCAGTCGATCCAAGTGTAAATGAGTATAGAAAATTCTGGAATGCTACGAGGTATCCATGCTTTCTTTACCTTTGTTAATAACTGACAGAGCGAACTAAGAGCTGTACTGTTAATCTGTGGATCAACTCAAAGTGGTTCCGTTTTAAAGAACTCCGTTTACTTACTGACACAGTCAGCTGCTGTTTGTGCTGCCATCTGAAGAGTTACAGTTCCTGCAGAACACGAGGTACAAATCTTCTGCCATCTTTCTGGTTGATAAGTCCCATAATCACATTGTTTACAAACATTGTTCACTTCATCTAGATAGGTTCCTGGGTTACAGGCAGCTGAAAGGTAGAAATGGAGAATCAAAATGGAGTTTTCACATAAAAAGCATGAGCCTGGATTTCGAATTTAGAACTACATTATATATATTCTATATAGTCCAGTTTATTTAAAATATAGAAATAAAGAGTGATTATAATCTGGAGGTACCGACTTGAAACTGCTTGTACTACTTTAATGTGATGCAAGGACGTCAGCAGGTATTTCGGCATGGGGGGTGGGGGGGGGGGGGGATAAAAATTGATAACGAACACTGGAACAAAGGAAATTGTGAAAAATTGACCTTGAAATGATGCATTCTGATTTGAATATGAAACGGTTATTTCTTAGCATTCAGAAAACTTGTCAGCTTTGCATGTTTTGGCTTTTAAATTTTTGTTTTCATTTTTGGACCAGATTTGACCCACAGTGCGGACATCCACGATGTGGTGAGCGACATATGTCACCACTTTAGTATTTGCTGTACTTACCGATATTACACTGATCAAGAGTTTCAGATCCCTCGTCTTTGGTGATAAAACCGTTATTACATGCTGTACATAGCGAGGTTCCTGCTTCCGGTTTGTAGGATCCAATACCACATTTCTTACAGCCGGAAGTACCACTGCCTTCATAACCCTTAAAACAGGAATCTGAAAAACACGTATTAAAATACTTAATATATGGGCATTGGCGTTTCTATGAATCTTTAGGTGGAGGATCGACAAGGGCTACAGAATTGTCAAGAGGAGGGGGGGGGGGGGTGTTCCTGTACCGAGCCATGAAACCATGCCCTCAACCCAAAATTCTGCCTTCATTGGACTATGACAATATTCTTGACGACCCGTGAAATTTCATACCATAACTAGTCTATATTTCCTTTGTGACTTGTGACCAATATTAGATTAGTAACTTACAGATACATTGATTGATGCTGGTAGATCCCTCGGCATCGGTTACACTCTGATTCGGGCATCTCTTACAGGTAAACTTCCATTTCTCATCCTGGTATTCTCCTTTTGGACAGGCCACACATTTACCATTAGGGACATCAATGTAATACCCAATGGTACAGTTGGCTGGAAAAGGCACAGAATAACAATATTGGTATAAATTTCATATTACATACTTACATACAGATATACTTAATTTGCCAGTGGCTGGAAGCGTACGAATGATAATATATAATGATAGAAGTAGAAAGTGAAATTACTAGTTTGAGGTATTTTTGTCCTTGAATATGGTAACATAACAGTTAGTATTGAGCCTTAAATTTTAGGTGACGAAATAGAATAAATTCAATGATTTATATGGCAGTTGGCTGAGCATCTCGATCTCTTAGTGTTCAGTCAAAATTGAGACCAGCAAGGGAAGTTAACAATTGACACTCACGTAAGGAACACTCCGTCTGTGTTCTAGCTCCAGTAGTTGGTGTGGTTTTATTTTGAGGGCATAACATACACATTCCTATTTTATCTTCAGCATTATCTTTGTAATAGCCCTGACTACATGGCGTACAGGTGCCTGACAATAGTTCTTGACCATCGACACAGAATGCTGAAATGGAAAGACATGTTTGTAGAAACAAGATGGTTACGTGATAAAAACAGTTAAAGACCCCAGGCTGGTGTACTAATGGCTTTCTTAAAACATTGACAAAAGAGTAATATAGTCCGAACATTGGAAAAGCTTTGAACGTGTTGATTCTTCAAGAGACCAAAGCTTGGCCAAAGCTAAACGTACAAAGATTGTGCAGATCGTGGTTAACAGACTAGTGCTAATGTTTGACCCTTTTATTCTTGTGTTATGGTTAAATTTATCAAACAAAATTTTATTCTCTCGAAACCTGTTCCGGATATATACTACATCATCAATTGGTCTGTATTACATTGTTCGTAATTCTATTCTATTGTACCCCACTCCATCCAGAGAACTGGTCTGATAATATCCTTGTTGTTTTTATTCAGAAACACCAACAAGGACTGGATTAAATAAAACTATTTGTGGTGAAGTTATTCTAAATATATTGTTTTGTATCGTCCACCACCAATAAAAACTTAATATGGTAAACATCCAAGAAAGATTGTGATTGACTGAATATACTTACGAAGACACTCCGAGCTGTTTCTGGAAGCAGTAGATATGGTGGTTTTACCAGTAGGACAGAGTTGACACGTTGTCTGGTATGGCAGAGGTTGGAAGGTATTTAGAGGACATTCGACACAGTTATTATTCTCTATTTTATATCCTTCTGTACAGTTTCCTGAATAGAAAGGGGGCATATTTTATTTCATGAACACCGCGACAGCATTGGCCTATATTTCATACGAGAAACGTCTGCAAGCAGATCTTTGAGCCAAAATCCCCCAAGGCCTTTTACAGTTTGATTGAACAAAAATTGGGCTTTCACAATTCGCAAAATATTATGTTTTATAAAACTAGCCATAACATGCATGAAAATGCTACTTACTGATAGTACACTGTGACTGTAAGGTTGAACTAGTTCCAGGAGTAACATATCCCTCAGGGCATCGTAAACAGATATTAGATGGTACATCTGATTTAACCCTATATTCACCCACTGGACAGGGTGCACAGCTATCGCCTGGTTTAACCCTTTCTGTACCGTCTTCACAAAGTTCTATAATCAGATATTGATATTATTTGTCACAGACACATACAAATTCATACACAGAATTCTCTCATAGACTGCTTTAAACTCCCACACCCACTGTTTTTTCACCGTTACAAAAAGTGATTTGTTCAATAGTCCTACTTTGATTAACCCCTAATATAGCTTACAAAATATGGTCACATTCGCCCACCGCCAGTATAGTTTGAATTAAAAAATATGACAGAACAAACAAGAAATAATCAACAACCGAAACGAGATCATTACCACATATCAAATCTTTTTAAAATTTTTTTTTGATTTTTAAAGGGGTTCATCTTTGAGTGTATAGAAATAGTAAACCTTTCCCACCTTCACATTCCGATTGCTGTACGGCTCCCTGTCGTCTCGTCCCCTGGGTGCTGGTACAGTTGAAACATGTCAACTGGTTGATGTTAGGTTGATACTGACCGTAGTCGCAGATAACACAGTTAGTATTGGTAGAATCAGCTCTATAACCGGCATTACATTGTACTGAAACACAAATTTCACACAGACTTTATAAGCTATGTTGACACTTAGAACCCAAATACCAAATAAACGTTATTAGTTATATGAACTTTCTGAAAGGGGTATTGAGGTTGAGGAACCAAATTAGCATTCAATTCTTCTATATTCTGTTGTTCTGTTTATTCCACATATGACACTGCCCCTACCCTAACACAGAGACAATGGAATAGATAAGTCAGTAGCGAGTTGGGTTGTCGTCTGATAAGCCATAGTGCTTTCCAGAGTCGCCCCGGTGTCGACTCTCATCTCCTAACACCTCGGCATGTGCTTTCGTAATTTTTACAACCACTTCCACCTAACACAGATATTTGGTGCCGAGCACAAGAATTTATAAAATGCCCATTTCTGCCACTCTGGTTTCATTTGATTAGCAATTCAATTGGTGATTAGCTATTTTCGGATAGTTTTAGAAGGTAGAAGTAATTTCTGAATCGCAGTTTGAAAAAGGAATTTGTCCCATGGAAAACTGTTGTATATATACTTACAAATGGAACAACCGGCTTCAGTAGTGGTGCCATTATTGGGTGTTGTACGACTATTAGGACATTGCTGACACGCCCCATATGGACTGACATTGTTGTCTTTGTAGGTCCCCACTGGACAAATAACACACTTTGTATTTCCAGGCCCGGCTGCATATCCAGATTCACAGAAAACTAAAAAAAAAAAAACGCGCTTCAAATACTAAGCAAAACACATTATTAAAAACTAGACTGAAGACTGTCCGAAGATCACCTTCATCAACTTAGGTGCAAATCACTGCATTTACAAACTTTCATGAAGACCTGCTGATGAACAGTTCATCAATACCTCGATAAACTGCGATACTTGTAAAATAGGGTTGTTCTGTGTGTAACTACTGCCAAGAGTGTTTGCCCAGGACCAGCTGTTCTTTCAGAACCTTAGTTGTAATCCTTGTATAATTATTGCAAAGAGGTTTGATCAAGGTCCAGCTAGTAGACAGGGTTCCTTGTAAAATCTTTGTCAAGAGGTTTGGCCAAGGATCAGCTGGTAGACAGGGTTCCTTATAAAATCAATGCCAAGAGGTTTCGCCACGGATCAGCTGGTAGACAGGGTTCCTTGTAAAATCAATGCCAAGAGGTTTGACCAAGGACCAGCTAGTAGACAGAGTTCCTTGTAAAATCAATGCCAAGAGGTTTGACCAAGGATCAGCTGATAAGTAGGGGTAATTTTTTATCCTTGTAACATTTACAATGCTTATTGCTACGGCATGGAGTGTAAGGCCTGAACTAGTATAGAGTATAGAGTATACTAGTAAGCCACTTGACGTCGGATTACTTACATATACATTGTGTCGGACTGGTAGATCCCACCTGGTCTGTTCGGAATCGTGCTCCACAATCTTTACAGGAAGTCTGCCATTTGATATCGTTATACTGATTGAGTGGACATTCTTTACACACATTGTTGTCATTGTACTGGCCGACTGGACAGGCGACTAGAATGAATTTCAAATTAAATTAATATACAAGTCCTATCCATTAATCAAAACTCAAAGAGGAATGCCATTGCTTAAATCGAGGTCATATGTGTAAAGTTGTTCGGTGCTCTTTGTAGAACAAAACATTAAGTGTTACTAAGCGCAGGCATCTACAAGTTCTATAGTCCATCACATGCCGCTGATACACAAGCCTGATCGGCACAGCTGGTTTAAAATCAGCCAGGTTCGGACAAAGAAAGCAAACTCACTGGACACAAGAGAGCAGGAGAATATACTAAGTAGGTCGCTTGACTGTTCTGACTCAATAGAAGAAATAACAGTCTACTTACAGTGCGACTCTACGGAACGGAATTCACTTAACAAGCACTATATTAGGGCATTTGGGCCTTCAAAACCCAACAAAATTAAAGTATTGGTCTATCTACCTACACTACGACTACGTATTAATGGGAAGTCACTAAACAGTGCCATAAGTCGACAACTAGAATATTCCAGAAGTGCGGTCGGTCGTTCCTGACTCAGCTCTATAAAAAAAAGTGTACCTACCTACAGTACAGTTATCCTCCGATACCGCCCCTATATCAGGTGTAATAAACCCATCACGGCACGATTTACATACTTGTTCCTGGCTATAGGTACCAATAGGACATTTCTCACAGGTCTGGTCTGGTAATAGTCGAGATCCCGCTTCACAGCCCACTGAAACACATCGCGGGTTAAAATATCTTATGTTAGTGCTCAACTAGATGTGTGTAATCTGTGAACTAGAGCCCCAACTCGGGAACTTTTTTAAACATATTATGCTCTCCTGAATTTTTTCTAAGGTGGGGGCCCCCTTATGGGGCCGATGGACTTGGTTCAACCAATCCCTATGGTAGTTGAGCCACTGTTTATTGTAACCTTTAAGCAATTTAAATTTGGCATGTTCCCATCATGAATATAATCCATCAATTTTCGAAAACAACGTCCTGTGTAGTTTCCGGTTCTGGATTATCATTACAGTAGAAAATAAATAGAAAAACTAAGTCTTTTTATGAACAACGTTTCGATAAATGACACCAAGAATACTTGACATACCCATACAGTCTGAAGAGGAGGTGGAACCAGTATTAAGAGTAAGTGTACCAACTGGACACGGTTCACATTCAAACTGTCCTGTTGTATTTTGATATTGTCCCTTGGTACATTCTGTACAAACACCATTGGGTATACTGTAATACTGGCCTATAGGGCACGAATCTGGAATGATAAATACCCGAAATTTAATCGACAGCTGTAAGTGGGTAAAGATAATCTGGGAAAGACCAACGTCAAGATGTTAGGCCAAGGGCAAACTGATAAATAAATCCTTAGAACTTGGGTTGTTCCTTTTGTAACGGTTTTTATATCCAAGCTATGCCATCCACGTCATAAGAGGTAGCATTCAAAATTGATTCCTTACCATAACACTGTGATACAGCTATAGAGCCTGTATCTTTAGTTGTATCTCCACTAGGACATTGTTTACAGACCGACTGGCCGAACTCGTCCTGATACTGGCCTTTAGGACAGTCCATACAGGTCATACTGGCAGCGTCGTAGTACGTTCCTCGTGTACAGGTCACTGAAATGGACACAAAGGTGTGTTGAAGTCAGAACACAATGGATTACCCCACTAGTCTAGATGTAGGGGGAGGAGTTCGTATTTGAGAATTTTCTACTGGTGTATCTCCTTAATTCGATCTCATGGTCAACAGAGAAGCTTAATTGTCCCCTGTATTTATTGTGGTTTTTCAAACTACTCCTATTATCAATCTTTATAGTAAAGTGTGAGCCTTCAAACCCTTAACAGGTGAAGCATGGCTCCTAACATTTACATACTAGCTCTAATAAGGAGTTATTTCATATCCAAAACACAGGTCAAGCTCACATGGATCGCTCTTGTCAATTGAATATAGATGAAGCAACTTACCACAAAGTTCATCTATAACTGTTTGACCAGCTGGGCATACTCTTCTGGCGTTAATCAGTAGAGAATGGGGATCCACATTGGCATTTACAATATTCTAGAAGTAGAATATATAATAATGAAAATTCAGCGTTGCAACTTATGGATAAATTTTAACAAATGGGAAGAGATAAACCCTGAAACACAGCACCCTTTTCAGCTAGAGAGCTTGACTCGCCTCCATTTTTCTCGTTTTCATCTAGAAGTTATTCTTAGATTGTGTCAAGGTTTGCTAATTTGATTTCCCTGCAAAGTATTCTATTAATAGAATGTCGACGTTGCTGGAGAAAAAAAGAGTTTTTGGTCCCGATGAAGGTGGTTGTGCCAAAAATCTAAAAAGAGAATTAGCAAAATTTCAACAGAAACTCGAAAAGACACATTCCTAATTAGGTGGTTAAAAAAATATAATGGTAATAATCTTACATCAAAATTCAAAACCTTCTGATCTAAAACTGCCTTAGCCAAAACTTCTTCAGCTTTCAAAGTTTCCGAGGCGCTCTTTAATTCTGGTCTGAAAAGTTAAGAGAAATTGATATACGAAACCCAGAACAAGAGCTAAGAGACTTAAGCTTTTATTGAAAAATATCCATCTTCAACTCCGTTCAGCGATTAAAATATTCTTCAACACTACATCAAAATTTTTTTATGATGAGCCGAAAAGCAATCGTCAATACTTTCCCAAATGCAAATCCAATTTCTAGTCTAGGTCTGGCTAACAAAACTCAAACCCATAATGATAAACTTTCAAGGCTAAGATAACAAAGGTGCAACCATTTCACGAGGATCCATTCTACCAGCTGGTCCTCATCCAAACATCTTTGCATTGATCTTTCCTGGATTATCCGTTCCCATTTAAAGCCAGGTAAACTTAAGTCAGAGAGTTATAAATCTTATACTTACTTGACATCTTTCAAGACAAAATTAACAGTAGTCGGTTGTCCTGGGTTACAGATGATGTTCATGATGACGTCCGTACAACTATTTTGTTGACACAATCCATTCTGCCACTCTGTATTCAGAGCGTTCACACCCTCCATCAATCTAGTTTTCAGACTGGACTGGACAGATGAACAGTCAGTTGGATTAATGGGGTACTGGACTTCTACAGTGATATCTTGGTTAGCTTCTGCTACTATACCTAAAATATTCAAGATGGACCATACGATATAGAATAATTATACCAGCCAATCATAATCCATTAAAAAACTTTTTAAAGGGGGCGCCGAAACAATAACCTTGGTGTGGATAGCTATAACGTCAGTTTAAGGTCTTTCGGGCATTGTTTATGAGTGTCAAGGCCATTTTGTGGCTTCTATTTGCATCATTGAATCTACTAAGCAATAAACTAAATTGAAGGTTTAAATAAAACTTACGTCCACAAGGGGGATAGCTGGTCTCAGACGGAGGCCACACCCAGTCTCCCTCAGGGCTACAGGTATAAATATTGGGTCCTATTTTATTATTGGTGGTATTTACGTCTTGACAATCAATCTTACAAGCCTTGAACTTCCAGTTACCACCGACATCGCTACACGTCTCTCCTCCGTTCTCTTTTGGTTTCGGTAAAGCCGGACAGAACTCATCTGAATAATGATTCGTTGATATTGAAATAAGACCAATTTGAAATAAACAAAGGGGATAACCTGTGGACAATTCCAATTTACAGTCGGACATCTGTGAGTCTAAAACTATAATATCTCTATCGCAAAATGCCGCTAATAATTTAATTAATACCATTGCCTAAAGATATAAGACCTGAACCCGAGTTTAAACAAAATATAAATAGCCAAGCTCTTCAGACTCAAGTGTGCTGGACAAAACAATTCTTAGTTTTGTTGGCCCTTTTACATTTCAAATAAAGTATTGCGAGAAACAGACCATATATACCAGAATATCTATAGCAGAATATATATACGTGTATGTATCAGGAATATTAATTTTCAGTTAAATTGAAAGTAAACATACCATTAATATAAAGAGTAAAAGCACACAGGGCCTTGTTGTTATTACTACTACTGGCCTCGTAGAGTACTGTATGTCGACCTTTAGATAACAAAGATCCTGGAAAATACAAACAGAACTCTTATAATTCCCTAGTAAACCATACAGCACAATAACAAGTATAAGCGTTATTGTTTAAACCGGTAATTGAGATCAAACAGGGCGTTTTGGGGGCAGTACTGAAATATGCTCGGCTTTCCATCTCCATTCTCCCCTGCCTTCAAATGTCTTATCAATGAGTACCCTCCCTCCCGCTTCCCGCCCCCGCCTTAATAATTCTGTTTTTTTGTATTTGAGCCCATCTATTTTCACATCTATGTCAAGGTAACTCATACTTGCTAATTTGAAAAGAAAAATTCACTTCTTCAAATCACAAATTGCTTCTGAAGTAGTCACCAGAGTAACTTACCAGATCTCTGTGTAAAGATGACAGACGACACCCCTGTGTAAGTTGGTTCTGTCCACGATGGCTGACCTGCGCCATTGATACTAGTTGTATAGACGTTACTAGGACAACCAGATATCTCAGGACTCTTTTTATCTGAAATGCAGACAAAGTAGGACGTAAAACTCCATTCTAAAAACACTTCTTACTCAAAAGACTATTCGAATGTCGCAATTGATGTCCACAGGATATAAATGTACTATTTCATTCATTTACAGGCTAAGTGGATAGCAAGTTGGTGCCGTTGGTTGGAATCCTCCCCAAGGTGAGTAAATTATGATGCCACGACCAGTGCTCCCAAAAGTCAGTTCGCTGTCGACTTTTAACATCTATCAATACATTTCTCTATTCTTTCACGAGATCATAAAATTCTTACCAACTATTTGAGTAGTACAGGACGGGAAACCTGAGTAGTTCTCAGGGCAGGCTTGTTTGTTGATACGAGACGGTCGCACCATTACACCATCTCCGGTTGTTTTATAGTCCTTCCAGCCTTGGAGAACACCAGTCGGATAGTTAAAGTTGGGTGTGTCGAACAGTTGGGTCATCTCAGTGCTAAAGTCTAACACTCTATCGTAAATGTTCAGTTGTGACACGCAACCTTTAAACATGGAGGTCGTCTTCATCATCGATCCAACAGTGACCCAAACTCTGAATAATATAATGCATGTTCAAACTTCATAAACAAAAAGAGAAACGGTGTCACTTTAAGAGGGTAAGAGGGTTAACGAGTTTGAGTTGGTACATGCCCAAAACTTCTTGGCATTGATTATACGTACCCATTTACAGTTGGGAAATAAACAAAGTCACCAGACTTTTACAAGTCGACCGAGATTAGAACCAAGGACTGTTCGACGTAATAACATTTGCATTCTGTTAGCTAGTTAGTTTGACACGATAGTTGTCGATACCCTCAAACAAACAAACTAAATTTTTACCTGGAGGTAGCCTGGATCTGCGGAGTGTAAGAACTGGACAACTGCTGTAGACTATCAATATAAACTTGTATAGTGTTATCTCCCCTCCAAGTTAACACTACAGCATGCCAGCGACCACTATTAGGTTTCATATTATTGTAGGAAAACTCGGCATCTTGACCTGGTAAGCTAACGTGCAGGTTCTTTTCGTCCATGTTGAAAAATTCAGTTGCTCGCATACTGTTCATATCTCCATTCCTTAAATATTAGATTTCTTTAATGGTGGCTGATAGCTAATGATGATGATGAAGTTTGATAGCTGATGATGATGATGAAGTTTGATAGATGATGATGATGATGATGGTGATGATGATTTTGATAATGATAGTGATGATGATGAATGGTGAATTATGATGATATTGATGACTCCGTTTTCAGAAAAGGGATCGACCCCGAGGCGTATAGATTGATACCCACTATCTTAAGTCAAAAGTAAGATGATGATGATGATGATGATACTTTCAGATAGAACCACTGTTAAAGTCAACAGGTGGTCTTAGCCGCAAGTTCATTTTTATCTTTTTGTTCACAATTGGAGATTCTAAAGAAGAGTCAGGATACCAGTGTAGGCTCCTACATTCTCAATACACGTGATGTCACAGTGTGATCAGGTTTGTCAATTTGCTGGGTGTCCACCGTGTCAACAGTTTTGAAAATACGGAAAATTTTACTTACAAAGTTTGTGATAAAGATAAGAATGTTCCCGATCCTCCGATCATATCGTATTTTACCCAGAATGCAATAGTCAAACCAGACGACGCGTCTAGAGAAAGCGGGAATGACAACATGGCGGCTCCACCATTAATGGAGTTACCAACGCAGACGTCATAGTTTAAATCTGCGTCTGAAAAAGATCATAAATTGACATAAGAACTTAAAACTTTGTATCAGGCCCGTAGCTTCAGGGTGGCAAAGGTGGAAACATTGGTAACGGCTAATTAATTATGCATATGAGGAAGTGTATAAATCATAAATCAGGAACTTCCCCCACCAAATGCATTTTATATTCGGCATATTTCTTTAAATGACCATTACCACATCCGTTTGTCACGTGGACTATATATTCCAAAGGCATTTTAGCATCTAAATGAAGAAAATCCGCACCTGGGTGGCAAATATTATATTACATTATACTCAAAAATAGTTTCTGTACGCAACATAAACCGAAAAATATAAATTGAATCCCTACTCTGTTGACAATCAGGAGATGCTCTTCCATTGGAACATTGGCAGTAGTAGCTGTCAATCAAATCAACACACTGAGCTGCATTAGAACAGGGGTTGGATGAACAGTCATTTACATCTACTTCACATTTATCTCCTCCGTATCCTGATGATAAACAAATAGAAATATCCATGAAAATATTAAATAAATAATATCTTCTAAGTACACTCCAGTACATCGTGTCCAAAACACATCCCCCATACGTCATACTTTCTCATGTCAAAACCCGTATTCGTGATACGATGACTCCAATAAGTAAAGAGATATCAAGCACAGATTCCTGGACATTTTAGGGCTTATAACAAACCGACTACATGTTCAAGAACGGCTGATTTTTGTCTGTTTTAGGATTCAATTAATTGTTAAGCACAATGACGGTTTTCTATGTTGAAACTGTTATATATGGGTTTATAGTAGCATACGATTGTTCGGCTCTTGATCCAATGAATTAGAAATTGTTTAGTTTCCCCTCCCCTCCCAACTAAAACATGCAATGGTTACCTACCTGGAGGACAACTACATTTAAAACCAGTGACTTGAGACGAACACGTTCCTCCATTGACACAAGGCGAGGAAGTCTCACAGTTAAAATCTTCTTTAATTTGACAACTCATACCCATATAACCTAAGATATAAAAACACAAATAAACGTGAGGGTATTATCGATGTGAGAAGCTGAACCTCAAGGTAGGTGAACAAGCTCTTAACGGACAAACACATTTCCAAAAGACACAATGACGTATCTCTCAAATTATTACAATGGTTGTAATCCAAGACACTCATCTACTGGTGAATTGTGTTAAACTGGATCAAAATCCGCACAAAAGAAAGTTATCCAAGCTGCTCAGAAGATGAGTCCTAAAAACAATACGATTAGGATTAAGATTAAGATTAAGAGTAATGAACTCCGTATAACGATCATTACTGCTCTAACGTGAGCATTCAATGGTGCTTTACAAATACAATGGTTTGGTGCGCTGGCAGTTTTCTATGATGATGGACAACAATTTAGTTTTCTGTTCCCAGAATGATCTAACGTTGTTTGAAAGATGCATCAAACCGAAGTGTTGTCTTACCTGGAGCGCAATTACACTTGGTTTCTCCGTTACCACTGCTACACGCTGCTGAATTATAACACAGATCTATTACAGAACAGATATTTTCTGTTAGTTCACAGGTTTTACCATAATTTGTTGAATTGTTACATCTGTTGTAAATACAAAAAAACATTGTATTAAAAATAAACGCTATAAACTATAGCAAGAATATTGTCCAGATCAAACTGAGAATATATATTATATCATTGTGCTCCTCTATTAAATTAGATTTATTTCTTTTTTTCTCATATTGCAACATGTCTATCACTGCCAATCCCGGGGTTTTCATTATATTTTCCCCATGGACTGAATGTTAGACAGGATCATGTCCTTGTGTATTGGACCTAATTCTGACCCATCTAAAATAAAGAGTCTATGTTTGTCCTCATGGACTGAATGTTAGACATGACCATGTTAGTTTGGTGTAATAGACCTAATTCTGACCTATATAAAATAAAGAGTCTATGTTTGTCCTCATGGACTGAATGTTAGACAGGATCATGTCCTTGTGTATTGGACCTAATTCTGACCCATCTAAAATAAAGAGCCTATGTTTGTCCTCATGGACTGAATGTTAGACATGACCATGTTAGTTTGGTGTAATAGACCTAATTCTGACCTATATAAAATAAAGAGTCTATGTTTGTCCTCATGGACTGAATGTTAGACAGGATCATGTCCTTGTGTATTAGACTTAATTCTGACCCATGTAAAATAAAGAGTTTATTATTATTATTATTATTATAGAAAGTAAAGAAGACATCATACAAATGCAAGTTTATCTTGAACTGACACCAATCTTACTTACTTGCAGTAATAATCATTAAAGAGACTGAAACACGTTCCTCGATCACTACATGACTGAGAAGTTGAGCTACAGGTGTCAATCAAGGTTTCACATCTCCGCCCAGTCCAGCCTGCTTCACAGATACATGTGTAATCATTGACCAGATTGTCACAGCGCTGACTGTGGATACAGGGATTACTGTCACAGCTGTCGATACTCTCCTGAAACAGAAATGATATTCAGTGGAGTTTTACGTCCATGACCATTCTGAACGCTTACGATTGATAATCTGAAATGGAGTTGCATGTTTCACGTTTCTATCTCAGACGGTATAGAATCTAGTGAAATATAACTGAAAATAAAGAAAGACAAACGTGTACATTGGATTGTGTAAAATGTAAATCAAATGGTATCGACGCCTTAATCTATGCGAAAAACAAAACTAAGAATGTCACAAAAAGTCATTTTGTGAGATCTAAGGATCTGTGAAGGACCTATCAGTAAGTACATGATAGTATCTCATGATCTGGTTTTGAAGTTGATCGGTATTGTATGGCCTCATTTTTTACCCCTTGGTAATAAAAACATCATTATTATTATCATTAACTTACACCACATGTAGCTCCTTTAAAACCAGGTTTACATTCACATCTGGAGGTAGTTGTTCCAGTATTAATACAGTTGGCGGTATTCAGAGGATTACAGTTGTTCTTATCACAAGGTACTGGACCATTCTGGCATCTCGAACCTATAACAGAATCTTCTCATTTATTATATCAGAAAGAGTTTTAGTCGTTGAAGAATTTACTTTACCAGCTGATAGAGCACAATTTCAGCTATCTGTATAGTCATCTAAATATTTACTTTACCAGATGATAGAGCTCAATTTCAGCTATCTGTATAGTCATCTAAATATTTACTTTACCAGATGATAGAGCCCAATTTCAGCTATCTGTATAGTCATCTAAATATTTACTTTACCAGATGATAGAGCTCAATTTCAGCTATCTGTATAGTCATCTAAATATTTACTTTACCAGATGATAGAGCTCAATTTCAGCTATCTGTATAGTCATCTAAATATTTACTATACCAGCTTATAGAGCTCAATTTCAGCTATCTGTATAGTTATCTAAATATTTACTATACCAGCTTATAGAACTCAATTTCAGCTATCTGTATATTCATCTAAATATTTACTATACCAGCTTATAGAGCTCAATTTCAGCTATCTGTATAGTTATCTAAATATTTACTATACCAGCTTATAGAGCTCAATTTCAGCTATCTGTAAAGTCATCTAAATATTTACTATACCAGCTTATAGAACTCAATTTCAGCTATCTGTATAGTTATCTAAATATTTACTTTACCAGCTGATAGAGCTCAATTTAAGCTATCTGTATAGTCTTCTAAATATTTACTTTACCAGCTGATAGAACCCAATTTAAGCTATCTGTATATTCATCTAAATATTTACTTTACCAACTGATAGAGCTCAATTTAAGCTATCTGTAATCGTCTAAAAATTTGCTTTACCAGCTGATTTCAGCGATCCCTCGCTTAATGATTGATAAAAACGCCACTGTAAGGTATTTGTCCAGAAACCCACCTGTGAAGTCGTTCTGACACTGACAGCTGAAAGATCCCGGTGTATTTATACATTGTCCAGTATTACAGTCAATACTGAGATCTGTACATTCATTAATATCCTCGCTACACTGTAGTCCCTTGTAACCAGTCTTACATTTACATGTCACTACATCTCGATCAACATGACATACATGGTTGGAATCGCAGGATTCTGAGCACAAGTCTTGTCTCTTACATTGGGTGTCTTTAAACACTGAAATAAGAAAGATTAAATGGAATAAAGCTTAAATTGGTTCCTATTGTCGTCTCCATTGAAATCTAACAAGTTTACTGTCAATCAAAGCAAAGTTATTTTATTTGTAAGTAAAGAAGGCATATAGACGGGTAGCTAGGTAGATGACAAGTTAACATTCAGTTAGCTTTCTAAACCTCTGACTTACTGCTGTATAGACACGTAGACATGATAAGTACTAGCAACTCTGTCTAGACAATTTAGATTTTGAAGCATCCCTCGTTAGTGAGGATGAATGAAAACCCAAGTACTAACGATCCGAACCTCAGGACTAAACCCAAAATCCAAAACAACATCTTGGCAATACATTGATAGCAGCTAATGAACTTTGTACACGAGGAAGTATATCAATTATAAAAGAGGAAGTATTTCATAATGAAAAGTGGCATGACTTTACCTCTGCTGAGACTACATCTATATCTGACTTCCACGTTAGGACAGTTGCCAGTGGAACATTGAAACCCATTGACGCTACACTGACTTCCTGTTATACTACCACCATTAACGTTTCGACATTCTACAGCAACGGGTGTGGTGGAACTACAGATGTTGATATCATACTGGAATATACCACAGATAACAGTAAAAGGGAAATAATCATTACGACACACAACTGATAATATGTGGAGAATCCCCTGAGTCCCTCCCGGAGATGCTGAAGCTACCCCCACCCCCATTAGACCGAAACATCTACTTCTAATCCATCCTCTGATAGCTATTATGAAAGTAATCGGCTAGCTATAAATGTACAAATATCTATCAAGAGCTGGAATAGAGAAAGATGTTTCGGACTACTCCCCATGAAGTCGGCCTGTCCCTTATCTGCACCCCCAGTTCAAGGTCCAAACAACCCCTAGACTTACCGTCTGCAGGCCAACACGCGTCTCTGTTTCAGTACCACTGGAAGTTTTGTCTACATTGAACCACGGTGTCCAGAAATCATCTACAAAAACAAAATAGTTATCAAACATCTTTCAAACGTCTTTCAGACAATTCCTTTTATCAAAATCTTCTCCAAAATATGGCAAATTCGAGTAATACTTGTATAGTAGTGGACTCCTCCAAAGAGAAACACCATCAGGTGATTCGAAAACAGTAAGTATGAGCTGCTTGGCGTGCAATTCAAAATCTTATCATATCCATCAAGTAGACATGATCAACCAAGATCTTTAAAGTCATTCCACAACCTAGCCATAAGCTCTTGAGTGTCGTAAGACAAGTCAAATTCCTAAGACTTTCATGAATTTCAGCGACAGAATGATAAGTACTGCGACGGGTGTCGCTAGCAAGGCATGCTAACACTTCTGGAATACCTGATGCCACTCTGCGCATAGGTTTGTAAGTTCAGATTCCATTTGTGCAAATGATTTTTTGTGTGAATATTGTGTACAAGGTGCTAACGAACCTGCAGGATGAGAACACGCCTTGATGTACAGCTGATTGTTGGTGACTGTCGAAGTAGTGTAGGATTGAGTTAACAGTTGACAGGATCTGCTGTTACGGTTATAGCTGAATCCTACACAATTAACACGGTTGGTGGTAGATTCACAAGCAGCCATACAGGTACTAGGTCCAACGTTGGTGAAAGGTTGTCCCAAGTTCCCACTGGTTGATGCTGTTTCGGTAGACAGTTCGTATTGACAGTAGCGACCTGAAGATAAAAAGAATACCCGTATCTACTCATTGTTTTTATTAACACACTGAAGATAATACACCACATTGATCAAGGTTTCAAGTTCTTGGTCCTGTCTACCAGCTGTTTTTTTACAAAGATAACAACATAGATTCTCGGAGAACTTGATGAAACAAATACCACCCAAGGGTATCGACATGTATAACTAGCTGGACAATTCAACAAATCAATGATGTCGAGTTGTGAATCTGGTTTACCTTTTGGTTCCTATAACAATGTAGGTTCCCAATAATCCTGTCTACCAGCTGATTCTATGAATAAATATCTCGGCGTTGAAATAACATTGATGAGATGACGACTTGTGTGGCAGTGACGACTGCATAACTGCTTAGATTCTAGATGATCCTATCAAGATCAAACCAAGTGACTTTGCAAAGATACATATCAACCTACCGTAACTAAAACCAGCCTGGCATATACATCGAGGTAATCCTGTAGTTACATCATCCATGCAGCTCTCAGCTCCACCACCACAATCTGTGTTTCGACACTGACTCTCTGGTATGTTACACATCTGTCCTGAATAACCTTCTGGGCAGGGTGAACAGGTATACCCTCCTGGTCTGTTGGTACATTGTGCTCCGTTCTGACACGGCGAAGATGCACATTCATCTGAAAGGAGGCATCCACGATGATATTAAACAAATATATGAATATTATATACAAATCGTGTCTTGACAAGCCAACACAATCAATCGTTTTAAAGGAGACAACGTGGTTAAATAGTTTGAGCCTTCCTAACATTGTAACAGATCTTAGACAATAAATCAATTCAATTTAGAATGGGTAGTAGAGTCATGCAGGTCCCCTGAATCTGGAAATTACATTGCACAAAATTAGTTGGAGAAGACTGGGTAATTTTCGGCCTTACAGCATTAAAGGAAATGAACAAGATATTATTTCAAAAAGTTTGAAAGCCGGAGAAAGCGCAACTGTACAAGCCGCATTTGAAATTCCAATGGTATGGTGTTTAAGTATGACTGTATGGTTGAGCAAGATATATCTACTTTGCTCCGCCTTGGTCAGAATTAAAACATAAACACAAACGACCTATTCTATTGACTGTACCTACCACTATTAATAGCACACGTGGGTCCAGTATAGCCAACTGGACAATCACATCTTCTTAAGACGTTATTAACCGGAATGCAGTTTCCGCCGTTTATACATTGAGGTCTGGTAGTGCAAACCGGATCTTGTATCTGACAGCTGGAAACAGAAGGAAAAATTCTCTCATTTGTGTTCAAGAATTACACAATGAAAATAAAAATGTATGCAGTGTCGGCGTGAGCCTCCCGAGACTTGGGGTACATATAGGGAGCTGACTGATCCAACGGGGGCGGGGATACGTCATAGTCTCTCATTGCCGCATTACGTTTATGTGGTGTTTGAAGTTATCAACTCGGAATCCCTTTTCAGAGAATTCATATATTTAATAATGTTATTTGAGCTTTACTTTAGCCTTTCCAAAATATTCCAGAAAACCAATTAATCAACGGAATTACCAACATGTATGGGAGATCACATGACTGATATTAATGAAAGTTCTTACTTTTTGCCGCTGTAACCTTGAAGACAATGACAAATATAATCGTTGATTCCATCCTCACAGACCCCGCCATTTTGACAGGTGGTCGGCCCACAATCATTGATGTTGAATTCACAACGATCACCACTCAAACCTACAGATATACAGATACACGGTTAAAGATGTAACAGTATGTAGGGATTGGTTTGGGATTCGCAGTGATACGATATGTCTGTAGCTATACATTGGCATTTTTGGGTTTCATTTGCAACACCTTTAAATCTTTCACGCCTTGCTTGTTGCACCACATTCGTCTTTGATGAAATTACAAACATAGCAGATAACTCATTGAACACGAAAAAATTAAAACCACCAGAGATAGGTGGGGACTGGGTGAAAAACATCTGTTCGTTAAAGCAGTGCCACAGACCCATCCATCTGCATGCCATGTGCCTATTATTATGAAGAAGTTAAAGAATGACCAACCTGTAGGACAGGCACAATCAAACCGTCCAGGGAAATTAGTACACTGAGTATTGTAATAACACGGTTGAGACAGACAGTTGTTGATTAATGTTTCACAATACAATCCGGTATAACCTGGTCTACACTGACAGTATGCTAGATGTTTCTGAACGGTACATGATTCTGTATTACTACTACTACACTGTCCGCATAGCAAGGGAACTGAAATTAAAACAAAAGCAGCAACGGTGAGAAAATAAGATTTTAGGTCGTTACTGTTTAAATATTTGACTGTGTTGTCGCTTTTCGAGGACATCCAGACAGCTAAGTACATTAGCTTTATAAACTTTAGAAATCATCAATTAATTCGTCTTTATTGCTATCTTGAATGATCCAAGATAGTGGCGTAGCCAGGATTTCTCATTGACGGGGGCCATCCAGGCACATCGGTTCCAATTTCGGAATTTAGAGTGTAATAGTCGGGCAGAGGGTCAGGGAGGGGGGGGGGGGGCTGTCCTTTTTATAGACTTGAGGTTTGTGACAAATAAACAGCAGTTTATTTAGGTAAATTAGATTTTTTCTTGTTTTTTTTTTTGCATACTTACCACCATCTACACAAGACGTAGCACCTTCAGCTGTTGTGGTTTGATTCAGAGGGCATTCCAGACACTGGTTGGACCCCGGGGTATTGGTGTAATAACCCTGGGGACACAGTCGACAGTCTGGTTGATTACCAGTGAATGAGTAGGATCCAATAGGACAAGCATCTCCACAGTAACATTCTAAAAAATACAAAATTAGAAAACAATCAGTTCAATATGAATTTTGAACCTTGAAGTGATTTCACTTCACTTTTAGAACAGCGTTGACTTTTTTGTGGTGAACATCAAGTTCGGAAACATTGATAAAGGAGAGAACGTTGGAATGGGGTGGGTGGTTGTCAATGTCAGAACTGAGGCCGCCTCACCCCCACTTCCAAATTTCATGTTTTTTTACACAGGGGAAAGAATTGCAGTCATAGATAAGAAAAAAGGTCACGGTACCTTTATCTGTGCGGTAATTACATGATCGTCTGTAGAAATCATAGGTGGAGTTAGGTGACAGGGTTCCTTCCAGTGTCAGGAGGAGACAGAACTTGGTCACCTTGTTATAGCTGAACCCAATACATTCTTCACCACCAAATACACGATATGAATCACAGGAGGCCTCACACTCCTGCATGTTACCGTCAGTAGGACTGATGTTGTTGACTGGAGGACCGCTCATTACTTGGTTATCCGTCTTGATGTAGGTACAACTAGGATCTACAATAGAATCAAAACAATAAGAACGCCTCCTGGCATTGATCTTTTTCGAACGATCCGTAACCATCTACGAGAAGAATAATGTGGAAAACAGAAAATGCTTATTTTTTTCTAAACACCTGATCGTACTTCCCTTTGGAGGGGATTTCAGTTAATGGAATTGTTTTGCTTGTACGGACCACTGTACTGGGGCCGGAAACCGAAGACAAACTGAAGCATACCAATTTAAACGAAACCAGTCGTTGTTGTCAAATATCGATATAGAACAGAGAATAATAAGGTATCCTATGAAGAAAGAAGAGTTCTACTTACTTGTACATTCAGGATAAAGAGGGGTGGGTACAAATTTCGTATTAGCCGGACAAAGTTGACAATAGGTGCTGTTGACACGGTAGGTTTCCCCAGTACATTCCATACAGGGTGGGAGACCATTGGTGGACATCAGATTACCACTACACACCGCTATAATTAAATACATACATATACAGGTGTTTTCATCACAATGGTAGTTAATTCACGATGTTTAGGTTTGCCAAGGGCCGTTTAGGAACAGAAGTTGGGAGGTGTGATATTGTATATTGATATTTGATATTTGATATCGAATTAATATTAGATATTACTATCAAATTCTGAAGATAAAACCCCAGTTATAAAGACCCGAACTGCAAGAGTAATCCCGAAATCCAAATAACATATTGTCATGATATTAGCAATATGTGGGTAGAAAATTTCACATGAGGAAGTATATATTATAGTCTTACGTTTACAGTCCAGAATGCTGGTCTTGCCGTCACCATATGTGGCACTCTCTGTCGGACATGGTGTACAAGCTGACTGAAGATCACCACCACGATATGTATTGACCGGACACTTTCGGCAAATAGACACCTCAGCTATCGTACCAGGTGGACACGGCACTGAAATATAGACAGATCAAGTCAAACTACCTATACCTACCACGTATCAGGTAGACACGAGACTGAAATACAGACACATCGTGAACCAAGGAAGATCTAAATAAAATTGTAGTTAATTTTCCTTCAGATATATCGTACAAGAAAATGTCAGATAAATACATCAGGTCAAATTAATACAAAATAATACTTGTACTACAAACTCAGGTTGCTACTGCAACATATGAATCTATAGAAACAGGACGAGCGCTACACCTTCGACAACGGTTGATAATCATAATCTACGCTGTGGACAAGTCTTGTTATCGTTAGCAAGAAATAGGCATCTCTTTTGCAGAGAGTCTGTGAAATATGACAGGCTGATTCTTTGTGATGAAAGGAAATTGATTCTAAAGATATACGGGTTGAAATCAACAAAAGTCTTACAAATTATCACTTTGAGCAAATTTTTAAAAAGCAACTAAGTACGACAAAGTGTAACAATGTAAATATTTCACCAATATTTCAGATTTACTTACCACAGGCATATATATTATCAACTCTTCGTGCGACTTCAGACGGCTGGGAACAGAAATCTTTGGCTCGGGAGTTCCGGGTATTTAATACAATATTCGAGCAGCCGACTAAGTCGATTGTGTGTAGGTTGGACAGGAGTGATGCATCAGGGTCGTTTCTGATAAGTTTAATAGCAGTAGTAACTTGTTGTACACAGTTGGTGAATACTGAAGGTATATGCTTCGTTGATCGAAACATCACTCGGAAAAAAACTTTAAACTGAAAGAGGAGATACAAAATAATATTAACATAACTACATTAGACGTTTAAATTACTTGAGTCACGACCAAGCGTATCTTTAAAAAGTAACACTACATCTCAAATAATAGTATTATGGCGGACCCAACTTTTGACCAGAGTAGTCTGTTTTGATGAAAATAAACAAAAAGAACATAAATATCGTTTACTAAATGTCAACTTAGGTTCACAAAGGATCCTTTCTACCATCTGGTCCTTGGTCAAACCTCATGGCATCGACCTTTCCTTGATTATCGTCGCCTATCTACAGCTGGGTCGACCGGTCGGCTACGTTTTGATCATAACCTTACTCACCATCCATCCCAACAACAAGCATACTAAAAACAAGACCTACCTGACGATCGTAGTTGATGGTTATATTATTGTTGACAGTGATTGATACATCCGTGATACCACATTCTGTATTGAAGTGAGAGCGAGCATCAAACAACCTGGTCCTAATCTCGTTATTATATTGGTTGATACAGGAGGATGAGAGGACACTGGCATCCGAGGTATTATAAAACATTTCAGTGTCCAGATCAAAACTCACATGCTGGGGCTCTGAAAGGAGGAGATAGGGGAAATGTTAAAAACTGGAAACCGTTTCATTATTCAAGTTACTAAAAAGTATGTATAGGTTTAAAGAAAAAAAATCCAGATGCACGGGGATCTTTAAGATGCAATTGAGAGTCAAAAAAAAACATTGACTATTTTGGTAACCTGGTGATGACAAAATACACCATTAAAGGGGTTTTTAAACTTTTTGTGTATCGAGAACACTGATAGCATCAATTTCCACCATTCCAATTTTCATTCTGACGTCTTGCAATTCCACTAAAACTAACGCGTTCTATGGCGTCAGAGGAGCTACCGGAAGCTACTATTAATATCTATGCAGTTCCCCTCTAGTGACGTCATAAAACGCGTTAGTTTTAGTGGAATTGCAAGACGTCGGAATGAAAATTGGAATGGTGTAAATTGATGCTATCAGTGTCTCTGATACACATAAAAAGTTTAGAAAAACCTCTTTACAATCCCTTAAAAGAGCTCGTGATACACAGTTTTAACATGTGCCCACACGACTTGTAAATGAAGTACTATGTAGATGAACTGTTTCAACAGAATATTAAACATACCAGTACAGTGTGGAATATCAGGTACTGTCCAAGCACCTCCAAAATTACAAGAAGTGGTGAAAAGTTCCGAGGGGTAGCTGGTCTGGAAGAAGAACCCTGCTTTACAGGAGATGGTACAATCATACCCGGTACCATCAGCCCGTTCTGTACACTGTTTATTACCATTGATAGGGTTAGATAGCGAGTTGGGGCTACATAATCCTTCTGAAATACCAAAAAAAACAAATGGAATAGGGATTTTCGTTCTGATTTTCAGCAGAATACTGGGTTTATAAAGACAGTTCTTCGTTGTCATGGTCTAATTACAATCGTTATTAGTATTATATCCTGGTATTAGTTCTTAAGTGCATATTTAAGACACAAATGAGTACCATACTATCCTGCTTTCAACTATTAATACCTGAATAACTGTTTCTAGCTATTTAAGACTGATAAATATGTACTCTAATTGGCCATTATTGTCATTCTGTGAGGTTATTGCCTCTGACGGAACTTCAAAGGTGTGGAAAATCCCAATGAAACAGGGCCTAGTTTTCTGTCTCTGTTTCTGTCTACAAATGTAGATGTTTCGGTATAGTGCAGTAGATACTAAACCTTACCAATTGATATCTGGAATTGACAGGAAGCCATGTTTCCAGCAGCATCTGATGCTTGAGCTGTTACTGTTTGGACAGTGCCGACATCAGATTGGGTCAACCTGATACTAGAGGGAGTGAATACCAGGGTCTCTACGGCTACATTGTCTGATAGTTTCACCATATCGTTCATACCCCAGCTTAGATCGACCACATCACTGGAACGTTCTATCTGTACCCGACGAGACTCCGGACATCTTATAGTTGGTGATAACTCATCTGAAATAACAGACCATGAACTGAAAAATTGATTTATACCCAGCTTGGCTGCAAATGTAAGGGACATATGAATTGATGACAGTCAAGGTTTCATTATTCTACGTCGGTAGATATTTTTTGCTATGATTATCAAACCCAGCATTGGTTCTCATTTGACTATTGTCGTTGTTGATGTTTAACAGCCATAACATATTTGTCAATGGCCAGTAAGATTTCTTTTTAAGCCGTACCTTGTACAATGACAGTAATGTTGCAGGTAGCCTGATTGCCAGCATGATCAGTAGCTGTATAACTGACTACAGTAGACTCTGCTACAGGTATTCCAGGTCGGAACCATGGTTTATCTACTGTTAAACTCAGAAGTATATTATTATTATCAGTGGCTGTTGGTATTGTGTACGATATCTTTTCATATTGTTTTAATCGTATCGGCTGAGTCGTACAGTTCACAAATACCGGCTTCTCTACATCTGAAATGAAATAGAATAGAGATTTATATCTGATCATTCTGCATCTTACTTGCCTAATGAAATGAAGTTTTACAGTCTATTTTTTGTAGAATAAAAAGCCAAAGAAATGAAATTTTATGAGTAATCCTTCAGCACCTTATTAAAAATGGAGATAATTATGAGAAAACGGATGTTATTGATTACACATTATACTCTGAAAGATTTAACATGCCCTTCCGCTCTAGCGACACTAATCACATTACTAATTCTAGAGTAGCTCAAATTCTCCCAAGTTTTTCACCTTGACCCCTTGACACGACGATCAGATAGAAAATATTCTTACCTCTACATTGTGGTAAAGCAGCACTCCAGTTTAATGTGGCTCCATTCTGTTGACATTCTAAAGGTTGTGAGTTGGTCAACTGGTAACCAGATCTAGGACAGCTGAATGTGGCTCTATCATTAAACATATACGATACAGAAATTCTCTGACCGCCTAATGGTGTACCAGGATCTGAACATCTTTGAGCTGCAAATAAAATACGCAACATTTCAGTGAAATGAAGATGGTATTGTTTACTCACATGAAGGTACCATTCTGTCAAAACTCGCCAAGGCTTGAGTAATATTAAATCTGGCAACTCATTTCATAAATTCCATATTGCATAAGATCATTGATATATATTTTATGTTGCACGAAAATTTTTCCATTCAATAACTTTTTTTAAAATGCTCTGATGGCGATATTATTTTTAGTATCGGGTCAGAATTTGAAAAAAAAATTATTGAACGTAAAAATGTCATGCCAATTATAAAATTATTGAGATCAATATGGCACAAAGAACAACTTACTTATTACATTTAATTTGCAATCTGGCACAAGGCTGAAGACAAATTCAATCTTGCTATTTCGATTGAAAAGTGAATTTCCATTCCGGATGTTTGTAAAATTAGCAAATACTCACGTAAACATCTTAGTCGTCCGAAATCCCAATATCCACTTGATAAACATCTAACAGTGGTATCGCCTTGATCAGACAGACCATCTAACTGATAAAATTGTAAACACTGAAACTGAAAAGATCCTACTCCTGCCTTGGTGCTGGAGATTAAAAGAGGAGAAACGTGGCCTGGAACCAGTTCTGGCATTCCACAGCTTACAGCTGAAAGATAATTGAATTATGTTAATCAGTAGCTCAACTACCACAGGGATTGGTTGAATCAAGTCCACGAGCCCCACACCTTCTAGGGAGTTAATACCAAAAAAATGAGTTCTAGAATGGTACGTGAACAATCTGAAATCATAATTTCCAGGATGATAAAAAAGCCCCTTACCTTTACAGCTGAAATCTTGGGTGGTGAGTTTAAAACTGTTGGTGCTGACATCATATACACATGGTATAGTTTTAATATAGGCCGGCACCCCCGGGGAGGCTGGGCAGTTTATCTGTACTGCGTCATTACCCTTAACTGGGGACGGTGTTGTTACATTGGCCCCATTAGAGGAAGTGAAAGCACATTGTCCGGCTGAAAAAGACAGGTTCGGCTTTAAAGATTTCACCATATGACAAAGATGTAGGACTTCAAATATTGTAGATAGCACCGGAAGAGATTATTGACTATGCCATTCGACCCCATAATTATCAGATATTGCTCGAAATTTCTTTATTCCGAATATCGCATTTTCTTCACTGTACCGATAATCCTACACGGTACACCAGGATACCGTACATCCCGATACCGAATACAAGCCTTGCCTATTGGCATCTCAAGACTTTATTATCATACATACCAACACATGATGGAATATTGTCCCATTGTCCACTGCTCAGACATCTGATTGAAATTTGACCTTGTAGCAGGTAGCCTGGTTCGCATCATACAGTCAAGACATCTTCATACAGATAGCGCGATCTCTTCGGACTAACATAACCATTTGGTATCTGTACGTTTTGACAAAGTTGACCTGAATATACATAAAGACAATTGATTTTTATAATAATTGTTGTGATAAGTGGCCAAGTTGAGCCACTGGTAGTGCTATAAGCTTCCTCTATTTAAGGAAACCTGCAACTGTTTTTTGGGGGCGAAAAGATAGATGGCCGTTATGGGATCGAAGGTAATAAAGCAATTTCTTTCCAGATGACTCAAGAGTTTAAAATTAACAGACATAGTCCACGACCTTGAGTGATGTTAAAATATCAAATTAACAATATTTGGTAAACCGAAAGATGGACCGGGTTGACTATCACAGTCGAAGGCAGAATGGCAAAGAAAAATGATCAAAAACTTACGTAGGCAAGTATGATTGAAATAATAGGTATCACCATAATTCATTCCAGTTTCACCCTGAGGCAGATAGTACCCCTGCTCGGCGTCTCGGGTGATGAGGAAATACCCCAGGGGACAGGAGCACTGGTAACCGCCCTCTAGTTCGTTACAAGTGTGACTACAGCCCCCTTTATTACTCGATTGACATTCTCTGATATCTAGAAAATAGAAAAATCTCAAATTCACCACAATCTTTCATTTTACTATTCTTCACGCTTAATAGAAATCAGGAGCGTATCTAGAAAATTTCTGAAAGGGGGGGGGGGGGGTGATTTGATGGGAAGGAAGACTAAAAATGATATGTGTCTCCGAAGCGACACCCAAAAAGCCAAAGCCCTTTTAGGTCGGAGGGATTGGAGATTTCTGATGGACTGAGATGCATTTTGAACATTTACAAGACATAATTTTCAATTCAAAATATGAGCCTTAGGGGAGGGCCGAGTTCCACTAGAACCTACTGCTTAGAATTGTACACAAACAGTATGACAACGTCTTATTCTGAAGAACTTGAGTTCTAGCTGTTGAGTTTTGTTCATAAAATACTAAAATGCAGAAACAATTACTTGTTGAAATATGTGTCTGAAAATCATAGTTCGCCATATCATAATTCTGTAAAGAAACGAGGCAGATCAATTGGCTATTCTCGGCAGTTTCCGTAAAGCTTAATTTTTAGGAAGCGTAACTTTCCGAATAGACCGTATAAAGCTGGGGCATACCTTGGCATCCCCCGGTCGGGGTAGATGTAAAACCATCTAAACAGCGACAGTGGTATGAACCGTGGGTATTAACACACTGTTGTTGACCACAAGGTGATCCGTTGTTACATTCGTTTATATCTGAAATAAGGATTTCATAAGGATAACATTTTTAGCTAATGAAATGCCGCAAAGAGATGCCGAAAATAACACCATAATATAATATCTGAACTCTCTTGAAAAGTAGTACAAAGTTGACAGATTTAAATACCCTGGAGCAAAAGTAGCTTAGTAGGCTCTCTAAAATGGATATCTAGTGGTAAAAATCCCCAAAACATTATAATCTAGCTATGGTGATTCTCTAAGAGTAACTATTTTCGATTGAATAGCTTAGTTCTAATGGGATGAAGATTGGAGAATGTTTCCAGGAACAGTAATTGAGCTAAAATTCATTGTACAGTTTAACGTGTATTAAACAAGCAGTCCGGGCAATGCTCAATGTGTACGGTGAAGAATATGGTGACTGCTGTCCGTGTCAAGAGGGTGGTGTTGAATAGAGGACACTTCGGTTTAGATTTTGGGGGGATTCTTGGTGTGTGGTCAGTGAAGGGTGGTGCTGAATACAAGTGGCCATTAGTACAAGGTTGACTGTGTCTTTAGTGGCTATAGTTGAGTGGAAGCTCGTAGACTTAAGACATAATGCTCTCCTACAGTTTGTTCTGGGGCTGGGACCCTTTTAGATGTTGGGACCCGTGGACTTTGTTCACTTGGTAGTTGGGGCACTGTGTGTCTTACCTAAACAAGAAGCGAGATTGGTGAACTGTTGGTCCGTTCCACATATCATCTGAGTTGTGCTGGACAGGGTGAAGCCTGGTTTACAAGTCATGGTTAATATGTCTCCCCGCACAGCTACTGGTTTACCACCCTGTAGTCTAACATCAGCATTGGCTACTCGTGGTAGTGGACAGTTTAAAGCTGCAAAAGAAGCGGAGACCACATATAACGCAAAGGGATTCATTGCCAAGAAGTTTGGTCAAGGACAAGCTTGTAGACATAAACCTCAAGAACCTAAGTTCCTGTGAAATTATTGTCATGAGGTTTGGGTTTGGACTAGGACAAGCTGTTTGACAGGAAAACAGGATCCTTGAGAGCCTAAAATGTCATCCCTGATATGGTATACCTTACCTTCACAAGTTGGTGTTGTAGCGGTATAGGTTCCATTATAACACATTGATATAGGTACACCGACTATTTTATAACCAGCTAGACAGTCATACTGTACTATAGATCCGAATGTCGTACCATCTCCATTCTCTGTTTTCACTTGACGAAGGAGACCATTATTTCCAGTTGGAGCGGGGCAGGTTTGCTCTGAAAATAATAATTCTGTGAATTTTAGTTCTTCTGATGACAATTGTTTGAAGTGTTGAAATGTAGAGCTGAGTTTTTTTTCTACTTTTTCAGTGCCAAACTTCAATATTCTTTTAAACAAACCATCCAGTTCACAAACAAGTTATCGGTAAATTGGCAATTTTCTTACCCCCTCCCCAGTTTCACCACACATGAGCTGCGAGCTGAAAGAAGAATGTTGCAAGGTCTTTCTACAGTAGTACGAATAATGCCCTCCTTCTCCCTCTCAGGGTCTTATCGTCAATACAGTTATCAGACTGTCAGTAAATTCTGGGCATTAAAAGTCTCCACCTACCTCGACAAGTGGGTACATTCTGCCACTGTCCGTTGATATTACATGTAGCTGTAGTAGGGGTTGCAGGCAGGAAACCGTCGGTACACTGGTAAACAACCGTACTGCCAAACCCTATACCTGTACCAGATATAACTTTACCGTGGTCTACGGTGGGTGGAAATCCACAATAATTCGCTGCAAATGGGAGTTAAAGAAATATAAAATTTTAAAAATTTTCTGGTCGTCGATCAAATTTTCACCGACAAGTGCGAGGGACTGTCAAAAGCAATTGAACAACAATGTCCAGAATCAGATCTCAATAGTCTTTCTTGGGTAAATCTTTTGGTAACATTCCCCTTAATGTGCTCAAATGCAGTACGTGCGTTATTTTTCAAAGGTTTGTTTGGTATGTATGATACTGCTCTTATAATCAGATCTCCACAATGTCCAGTTATACCGAACATCGTCTTATACCTTGACTACAATAGCTACCTTTCTTGTATCACAGAATGCAGAGAGTTGATTGACTTGTATGCTGGCGAATATAGCCAATCAGAACCCTCGACAGAAAAACTTGATTGGTAGTATTCGCTAGTATACAAGCCAATCAAATCGCTTGTTTTACAGTGTTCAGTGATAAAAGAAATTTGGGTATTCCAGTCAAGGTATAAGACGATGTTCGTAATAGCTTGACATTGTGAAGAGACCGAACTAAATCACTATATGTTACGTACCTTCACATTTGGGTATAGTCCGGACATTCCAGTTACCACTGTACAGACACTCCAAGGTGAATTCAGACTGACCGGCTAGCTCCTGGGTATTAAACCTAAACCCCGGCTTACACGATATAACTGTCCTCACCCCAAACCCCGTATCACCAGGGGCAGGTGCTTGTTGGAAATTTAAAAACTCTGATGTTGGACAATCTGAAAATTGAAAGTTTAACTTTTAGACATACCATTCCATGTACCAGTAATCAAAAATAACGGTTAGATGCAGCTGGCAAAATAAATGATACAAAAGGCAGCCTCCGAATCCAATATCCTGAACCTAATCTTAGTAGACAAGTCTAGAATGGTGTGCAGTACACATACGTCCTAAGTTCATATTAGGAACCCTGGGGTGCTGGGAAGTACCTCAAGATATATACACCGGGGTTGTAAACTTGTCTGAATATTGAAAAGAATGAGTTCAGCTTACCTGTGGAATATTTAGCTTTAAAGCCCTTCTGACTCTTTATCGCGTTCGACTTCAGCCTCAGAAAGAAAGCACCGTTGGTGGTGACTATGCGAGGTGGTGTGGTGGTTCCTGTGTATCCTGCACCACTGTGAAGCGCAATACCACTGTCATCTTGAAATCCATACACCTTGAATCAAAATTAATAATAATTTTAGAAATTGACTCTTTTAGTAACTTCATGTTGATTCCACTCTTCAACAACATTAATGATAAGAAGAACACAAAAACAATTTTCAATCAAACGTCTGTTGTCCCTTCAGATTTTAATTTTAATATCATTGATTTCATGATAGATCTTGTCATTGCCAACTTGATATTGGTAAAGGCTATTTTCAGTTAGCCAAAGAAATGACCTCATGATATTGACCTATATAGTATTGGCGGATGATCCCTCTTTTTGAAACACCTGGTGGTTTTTCTCTTTGAAGAAGTTCACTACAATACAACTTTTACTCTCCGTTTTGCTTTTCTTTGTACGAGTCTTTTGAATGACAGTATTGTCTTGTTTGTACGGATTTTTATCAAAATTACACCCTTATAGAATTATTGAAGTTACAACTCAAATGAAGAAACAAAATCAGCTATACAGATGGTAGTTTCCGAGTTTGAGTCTATAAAGAATAATATGTAGTTACCTCGAGATAGTCACTGTTATCCAGGTTGAAATCACTATCAAATACAAGATGTAAAGATGGTTCTGAAGTCTTGATTGTCCAAGTACAAGTTTGATAGTTGGGATAGTTGACGATACCGTGTCCAGGCCAGCCCAGTTCTCCTACAGATTCTCGATACTCATAGTCACAACCTGTAGAATAAAGAACATGTTGATTATAAACAAAGAGAGATAACCTGGGTATTTTACTCCCAGTGATGTTCATTCATCGAGATTTCGGTAGGCCTGTGAGTGCCAATTAGTCTGCAAATTGAATTTCAACTTTAAACTGTGTATCAATCGGCTTAAGATAATTTGACTTTTGTTATTCATGCTGAATAAGTCTGGAAATTTCGTAAAAATTCAAAAGGTTCTCCCTGTGTTTGTGTAGAAGATGTGTTTCTTTACTATCAGTTTAGATGAGGATTGATGGTATGTTACTATTCTGGAACCTCGAAACGATCTTCGAGCTAGAATGTCTTAGAATCAATGTTAGATGGTTTCGAGAATACGTGGCCTGGTTCCCATGGTGGTACATATACCACCAGATGGTTCCAGCAAATACCACAAGTGTTCTAGACGGTGTTTCTCTATTGTGAAGTGATCAGCTGATATCCAATTCGGTAAGGGGTAGGGCCACTGATTGTCAAGGGGTTGGGGGCACCAGGTAGTTCTTTCCACATGGCTAATGATCAAATTTGAGGGGGGCGAGGGGTGCAAAACCGGGCCAGCTTCTTTTCTGGGAGGGGCAACCTACACCGCCACCCCATATACCAGCCACGTGTTCTTTATGTATAATGCTAAGAAATTTGGAAGTGAGGTGAGGGGAGGGGACATACCTTCTAAACACCCTCTCACCCCATAAAAACGCCAACGACTTCTCCTCGTGTCCTACCTTGTTTGTATTGGAACTGGAAACCAGTGTGTTGATTATTGACCGTTAAACCAGTTTTAAAGGTGACCATCAACCAGTTACCAGTAGAAGTAACATATCGTGGACCACCAGCGTGGGTAAAGGTTGCTAATAAAACATCATCTACCGTTCGACCATCTCTCACTTCTACCACGTCACCTTCACCTAGGTCCAGTGACATTTTCTACAAAAATAATAAACAGATGAATACAACAATATTCACCACGGCAGGCTCGTAGGTAGAGGGGAGCCCTCAGAAATTGACCCTTGCCCCACCTGAAAAATTAAGATGACTTGAAAGACTTGTTCAGTCGCCAAAGTTGAGGCCCCCTTAAAAAAAAATTTGACTCTCCCCTGGGACCCCTGACTAGCACGGAAATACAATCAAACTCAGCATGACCCTTAATGAACAACCAGTAAAAATTACCAATGTAATTTTCAGTCAAAATAACCTTAATGCACTGTGGCGATCTGAATATAGACAAGGTTATGTAGCACAGTTCGTCAGAGAGTTGGATATTGTGGCCAGATCGAACACATGGTAGGTGATCGTGGGTTTTGATCTCGGTCGGCATGTAATAGTCTTCTTTCTTCATCATTCCAGTTGTAAAGGGATACAGATAATCCGTGAAAGATACACAGAATATATATTAATTAAGAGTTCCACATACCTCTAATGTGACAACATCTCTGGATAATTGAGACTGAATCAGCCATGTTGATTCTTGATTACCCAGGTATGACTGTGGAGACGATGATGGCGCTAGATTTTGAGTTATTTGAGTTGCTATTAACGATTCGTCATCTTGTTTAACTGAAATAGATAAAAAAAAACGTCATGGAATTTCCTTGATCAAGCAAATGTATAGATTAATTGACAATGTCCTGAATATGGACTGAAAGTTATGACATATTTATATTTTTATAAACGTAAAGACATTTAAATAATAATAGTACTATTTGATGCTGATATTCCAATTTTCGGTCAAATCCGAGGACAATGCATTATTCATGAAACTAGGCAGTAAATCTGTAATCTGTTTACTCTTTTCAGTTCCTATGAAAGATTCTTTACCAAAACAACTGCGTGTGTGTGTATTTAGATATTGACTAATGTAGATATATCTGTGTTTGTAAAGCGCCATTGAATGCTCACATTAAAGCAGTAATGAGCGCTATAGCAAGTTCAATAATCCTAATTTTCTTGTTAAGATTGACGAGGATGTCTGTACTCACCAACAGTCCAGCTGGCCTGAAAACCTCTTTTTACCCCGGTGTTATCAGAGTTAAAATGGACTTTTAAATAGTTGTTTGGACTGATGAATATTTTAGGAACATTGACAAAGATTCCTGAGAGTCTGTTTATAATCTGTGATTTGGTGAGAGTTTTACCTCCGCCATAGATAGTCACCTCGTCTTTATCAATCTCTGTTTCAAACGCAGTGATCTGAAACGACAAACAACGTATATGGTCACCCGCATTGTCATTCTTTGGACGAGATTTTGATGAAAGGAATTGTCTTGCTTGTACAAATTTTATTTCTTTTTCTATGTTGGACAAGAGGAAGTGACTGATGTATGCTAAGTTGAGATTGTCATCAGGGCACAGGTGGTCAAAGTCTTTCAGCTTCGGTTGGAGGGCTGTTCTTGACCCCTCCTGGCACCCCGGGGTATCACCAGTTCACCACTATTTGCAGTTTAAACTTACTTGTAATCTAACATTGGTACCAATAGGTGATTCGATGGTCCATAGACAGGTGGCGCTGTTAGGATAACTTCCGGTGGGGTAACCAGGGGAGCTAATCTGACCACTTGTTCCGGTTTGATATTCAGAACAGATCGATTCTAAAACAAAGAGCAACATTAACATAACAGTGACGATTATGACAGTGGTGAGGTTTTTTATTTTTTTCTGGAAGCAATGAAACCAATCCTTAAGCCTATCTGTTCATCTAAATGCGTAATAAATTTGCCAAATACGTTGATGTTGGTCATTGCAACCAATGAAAAGGCTTGTCCTTGTAAATCATTCGACACATTCTTAATCTCAGGTTAAACAGTGAATGATATCAGCCTGTGACTGAACAAGTCTTCTAACTGTTCATAGAACATGGAACTGAAAAAGAGTTCAAAGTCCTAGTGGAGTCCATTTAGAGATACATTAATGAGTATTTACGTCATACAGTCGTTTATTTATTGAAGGAATACTTACTATCTTTGCAGTCTAACTCATCAGACATGTCACCACAATCGTTCTGTCCATCACAAGTCCATTTATTATTTATACATTTACCATTACTACAATGGTAGCTTCCTATAATAAGAAAGTCAATTTTACATATACTCGTGTTTTCTCCCTTGTTTCATGAAATTATTCATTCAAAAAGTCTTTCAGTTGGCTGAAAGTGGACGTCATCTACCAACAAACCACATAGAAAAGTAGTTTGCACCCCCAATTGTACCAATACTTTATTTTCAACAAATTTCAAAATTGCTACCTTTTTTTCCAAAATATGTGTCAGAATGCACAAAATCATTTCATTTTTTGTAAAATTTTCTTGAGAGAACTCTCTATGACGCTCTATGAGAGGCTTGCGACTATGACACCACCACAGAGTAGCCAAAATTTGAATTCAGCCTCAGCAGTTGTCCTTCCATTTGCCCCCCCTATTTGTACTACCAGACTTGAAAGGCTGGCGCCGCCACTTCATAAAATCATACACTATTGTTACTAAAGCTAGTGTACTATATAGCGATGCATCGGTGCATCTTCGAAAAATGACATATGCCTAAAAACATTCAAACTTAGGTTCAGAAATTACCTCATATGTAGAAAATAGATAGAAGTATGTTTCCCTGCCTAACTGGAAACTAAAATTCGAAAATCATATGAATAGCTTGGATTTTCTTTTTCTTTTTTAAATCTATCTTGATCAGAATTAAATAATAATTTACCTGATGGACAAGCCGGTAATTGACAAACAAATGGTTGTTTCGTTTCACAGTTTTTAAAACTCCATCGGTTCTCGTTACTGACAGTGTTGTAAGACACACACCGACCTTTGGTTAAATCTGGTTGTTGGTCAGACCAGAAACCCTCGTTTATACTGGTAGGTGATCCGTCACTCCATTCTACTGAGTTATTAGTATGAGGTGCATTCAAACCTAAAGTCAAAACAAAAAATTAAATCCTTCTTTCTGAGTATACATGAATCACAAGGGCTCATGGCATTGTGTCGCTTTTATAGATTTTTCTAATGATAATCTTTCTTACTGACCATAACTATAAAAATATGTACATGCTTGACAATTCCGTTAATCAAAATCTCGTCCAAAACATGGCAAAATCGAGAGTAAACGTTGTATCATTTCGTAGAAGAAACTGAAACGAAGGGGAAACTACAAAATAACACAGTGTGGAGACTTTGGTTTATTTGCAATAGATATGTTTTAAGTCTCTACATTATAAAATCTTACCTATCCAGAAGTGTGAAAACGACTGACTATTGGCGAAATTTCCCAACTCCACATTGGATTTATAATCTCTTATTTCTGCAAGATGTGCTCCATCTCTAAAATTCAAATATATACATACATGATATAGTACATTGTTTGACACCAATAACTCTCAGTACACAACTGGCTCAATAACAACGAATGGCCATTTTAGGTCCGTTCTTAACACTCTATATCGGCTTATGCAAAAACCTTGACTGGCACCCGTCAAAGATAAATGTAGGTCAACATTCATGTTTTATGGCACTCGCTTACTCTTTACTTTATCAATAAAGCAAGTAGGATTGTCATTGTTACCATGTATCTTCTTGGTTTCCGGAAGTATCCGTGGCTCAGCTAGCTAAGTGCTTACTCCCAGGTCCGAGTCGTAATATAGTTAAAAATTCAAATTTAAATAAACGATGTCGGGATATAAGATAACTTACTGTTGACAGACTTTTAAAGCTGCATTCCACGAAAGTTGAACTGAAGGGGGACTGGGTTTAATACATTTAATATCGGATAATGTCCAACCTATAATAGAATTGAAGAAAAATATCTCAATATATTGTACATTATCAGAATAATAAACGTGGACACATGTAGTTATTTACTATGATATTCAAGTAATGGGTACATGAAGCGCTAGGATCTCTTAGAAACACTGTTAGAAGTTAAGACTCTAGGATCTCTTAGAAACAGTGTTAGAAGTTAAGACTCTGGGATCTCTTAGAAACAGTGTTAGAAGTTAAGACTCTAGGATCTCCTAGAAACACTGTTAGAAGTTAAGACTCTAGGATCTCCTAGAAACAGTGTTAGAAGTTAAGACTCTAGGATCTCTTAGAAACACTGTTAGAAGTTAAGACTCTAGGATCTCTTAGAAACAGTGTTAGAAGTTAAGACTCTAGGATCTCCTAGAAACACTGTTAGAAGTTAAGACTCTAGGATCTCTTAGAAACACTGTTAGAAGTTAAGACTCGAGGATCTCTTAGAAACAGTGTTAGAAGTTAAGACTCTAGGATCTCTTAGAAACACTGTTAGAAGTTAAGACTCTAGGATCTCTTAGAAACACTGTTAGAAGTTAAGACTCGAGGATCTCTTAGAAACACTGTTAGAAGATAAGAACCTAGGATATCCTAGAAACAGTGTTAGAAGTTAAGACTCTAGGATCTCTTAGAAACACTGTTAGAAGTTAAGACTCTAGGATCTCTTAGAAACACTGTTAGAAGATAAGAACCTAGGATATCCTAGAAAAACTGTTAGAAGTTAAGACTCTAGGATCTCTTAGAAACAGTGTTAGAAGTTAAGACTCTAGGATCTCTTAGAAACACTGTTAGAAGTTAAGCCCCTGGGATATCTAAGTCTTAAGATCGTTTCAGGAATATACGCTGTCTGGTCCTTATACATCAAACATTGCAGCTTCTCGGTTGATAGTCATGCTGGTTCATTTATCAACGTTCCAAAGACACATATCTCAAAGATTCTTATCTTCAATGTCATCTTTTGCAAAACAGGTCTCTGAAAATTGGGCAAACCCCCTCTCTGTTCTTAAACATACGGACGGAGTAACATTATCTCTGCTATCCGAGATACTAGCCGATAAAAATTGTGGTCCCAAACACGATAAGTTGACGACACACAGCACATGGGGTGAAATAGAAAAGAGGGGACTGGTGGGGGAGAAATATAACAATAGGGATATAAGATGAAAGACACTATTCAATATTTACCTGGTGGACAGACTAGAGACACTTGACCCTGAAAAATACAGAAAAAATATCTTATAGTTATAATATAGCTGATAGTGAGAACAATAGGGGGAGAGGGAGATATTGTTTACAGTCTGTGATTTGACACCTAATTCCACTTTTCATTATGAAATACTTCCTCACTTATAATTGATATACTTCCTCATGTGAAAAGGCCATTAGCTGCTACCAATGTAAGAATTGATTGGGTCATATTGGGCAATAATCCTGAAAGGGGTAGCTGATCTTTCTGCTGGTAAAACAAATATTCATTGACCCTATATTCCATGAATACAATTTCTAATATATTTGATGGTTTTCTCGAATGACGACATTTCACCCTTATCAATGTTGATTATAGCAGCGTATTTGTCTTGCATGCCGACGATTCACCTTTATTAATATTACTGATCGACGGTTGTATTTGGTTTGGGGATACATTTAAGTTTTAAAATAGGTATATAACTACGTTAAAACACTTCCCCATAAAACCTCGTCACTGTGAAAATCCTGAGGGGTGTGGTTTAGAATATTACAACCCTCGGACAGCTAATGTTTGATATTTATTTTATGTACGTATATGTTTTCCACACTGATTGATACAGCTTTGGCGGTTGTTATAGCACAACATTCTATGCTATAATGTATGGCTTATATACTACCAAAGTATTGACAAACTGTTGTTTTGGACTTTGTTGGTACTTAGGTTTTCCATTCTATATTTATGTGCCCTCACACCATAGAGATTACCAGTTGCTTATGGTTGCGAATGATAAAAATGACCATGACGTGCGTTCGGAACTCACAACTCAGTTGCAAGTGAGTTGCGTTCGAATTCTTTTCTTTTTCGCAATCATACGCAACTGATGTGAGGGCACCTTCAGATCATCCCTTGGTGGTTGATAGATGTATATACAACCTCCTATGCACTATGTTAAAGCTATGGTCTGTTTAATATGCAATTATAAGTTGATATTAACCGTTCATAGAATATATTAAAACTGATTGATAAATATAGAAAATTGTTTTATATACTGCTTGATAATAATAGGTCTAGTCACACCTTGTAGTCTTCTTCACTCAGACTCAAATTGACATGTAGGTTCAATCTGGTTTATAACATGTTAAGTACAAAGATATGATAATAAAACACAGAACTGTGCTTAAAATCCTTTCTATCTCTGGGGAGAGGTTGCTTGCTCGTAAACCTCACTCTAGTCCATGCTATGATACCCACAAACACAAAGTTTCAAACACAGGCTCTTGTTTTGTCCACAATATGAATTTATAGATGTTAATTTTGATATTTACGATCAATTTCAACGCACCTTATTGTTCTAATAAAGTGGTATGGACATGAGACATGAACCCGGGTTTCCATTCTGAAAAGAGAGTCAGAGAGTCAGAGAGTCAGAGAGTCAGAGAGCTAAGATTGATTGAAATGTCCCTTTTTAACTTCTTTCAATTACTGAGTCACTTTAGTTCTGATACAGACAGACTATATCATATATTACATTATAATTTTTATTTTATTGGTGTAAAATAGATTATCGTCACTTCAACCCTGAACCCTTATCAATAAATAGATGGGAAGATGAAAATAAATATATAACACCAAATTTTAATCGTGATATCAAATCAACCATCAAGAACTAATCATCCGTCATAACTTACATGTCCTACATCTTGAACAACAACAAAAACAACATGGCTCTTATCTCAATATGATGAAAAGGCATGTTGATATGATTTATTTCGTGTTTTCTCTTAAGGATCACTTCTTTCCCTTCCCATAATCTTGCGAAAGTTTTCTTTAAAACATGTTCAAGCAAATGATGACCCAAAAGCAATAATCTTTCTTTACGGATTAAAACAACGTTTACTTAGCCTGACAATGCAGCTCAATGCTTTACAACGCATATATACAAGATTTCCTCATGAATGATGTTCTGAACAGACTATTTCATTGGTTGAATATTCTAATGACCTAGAACACGTGTTGCATAAAAATTTCAACAGATAATGAATGGGAAATGGCCAATGTTTTACAATGAAAATCTAGGAACTCCTGACGTGTAGTCTTTACTTGGCATTTGATTGGCTGAATATTTCACAACCTAGAACACGTGTTGCGTAATAATTTCGTCAGATTATGGATTATGGATCTGTATTTTATTCAGATTGGCCAAATGAAAAATAAATCTTAGATTCCACATTTTGTGGATCGACAAGACCGAAACATCTGCCTCTATACCAGCCTCTGATAACTATTTTGAAAGTTGTCGGCTGGTGCTAGACGAGTCGACCTTGCTTCGATTCTCACCTCCCACCCACACATGTTACAGAGACACTTAGTTGTCAGTGTTACGCCCTTGAAGAGAAAGTAACGATGTGATTACTGATATGAAACCAATACGTCATTTCTAAATCTTATTCAATAGGTGAAATGAAGCATCAAGACAAACACAGTAGTCGAATATCAACTTAAAAACAGAACAGGGTTGTTTACATCAGCACAATAAAAATCAAAATCATTAGTATAACTGTACATCCATTACATCATAAATTAAGGGCGTGGTCAGGTGGGTATCTTGACGTAGAGAGATGGTCGTTATACAAACGAAACTACGTATGGTTTTTACATGGAAATAACACACACACAAACGTAGTTCACAACCATTTTGAATCTCTACCTCGACTTAAAAGGTCGAGCTTTTTCTTTAAATTTCAAAATATAACCCAAGAAATAACCACTTAAATACACCACTGATAACCAAAGAAAACTCAACTTAAAATGAAAGTAAGTCTCATATTCTGGAAGATCTGTTTGTTCGTCTCAATAAATTGTATCATCCTGAGCATTAAATCTTCGTTAACCAGGACTATTTATTGTTGAAACATTTTTATTGTTTGATGTCAGCTCATACAAAATCTATTTCACTTCTATTCAACTTTTTAGTGAAAACAATTTATTGTCATTAGCCTAGAGAATCATTATAGAATATTTACATACATTACAAATATAGTTAGTTTGTATATTGGATATAATCAATTGATAGTTATTGATAAACATACACTAGCGATATTCACTGATTATTTTACATTAGATTCTATTGTTCGATACAATCTGATGCAGGGCGATGTGCTGCTAGTCGTGCAAGATACAAGTTTCTTGATAATTGGAAATCAGACAATTTCTACCTCTGTTTTGCCTACAATTTCTTTGTGCACACTAAATGACGTTGTCCTTTTCCGAAAAAATAAAGATCGTTTTATATTTGAGGCATCGTGTGGCAGAATTTCTCCTCAATACCTCGATCAAATTAGCTTGTCAGTTGATCTTTATACTAGACTGGCTTCCGGTTGTTCATATTACTTTTCATTTGGTTTTTAGGGTATCTATTCAAGGCTTATGGATTCAACTTGTGAAAAGTGCAAAAACATAAAGTTTGGTATGGCTCTTAAATGGAAATAACAAAGGCTAACATAGTTCACAGCCATATTTCATAGTTCACAGCCATATTTCATAGTTCACAGCCATATTTCATAGTTCACAGCCATATTTCATAGTTCACAGCCATATTTCATAGTTCATAGTTCATAGTTCATAGTTCATAGTTCATAGTTCATATTTCATAGTTCATATTTCATATTTCATAGTTCATATTTCATAGTTCATATTTCATAGTTCATAGTTCATATTTCATAGTTCATAGTTCATATTTCATAGTTCATAGTTCATAGTTCATAGTTCACAGCCATATTTCATAGTTCATAGTTTCGTATACATCTCGACGACCTCTTCTCTACGTTAAAATACCGACATGACCACACCCCAGTGCTTAAATATTCAATATAATTGAATCTTAATAGTCCTTAAGAAAGGTTACTATTATCACCAATCAAACTACTGAATTCAGTTCCAGAAAGTTAAATAAATTTTCATTTGCTACCGGGTTCATATAAACTATTCTTTTAAAAAGATATGAAAATCGGAGTGCAAATATTGACAGAATAGTCGATTATATTCGGCACGATTTGAAAATGAAATTCTTGTTTATTTAATCTGAACTAATTATATTGCTGAAAAATTTCATAAAAAAATACTGAAAGAATTTGTGGTAAAAAGTCTATAGTCCGAAAGGGAGTTTACCTTGTACGCCCTTATCTATACAAAACAACAACTACACAACGTTTCGACACTTTTACATAATTATTACTATACAGTTTTAATGTAAACGTTTATTGTTACAAGATTGTGGTCATATATTATACTAGTCTCATCCTTCAAACCTCAAAAATAACGATCTAATGAACCTGCTTTCGAGACTTGTGTTGGATTGGGGTATAACTAAACAAGATACTTTGAACTGATTAATAACTTTACAGTGCCCGTAACCAGCTCTATCAAACCGAATTGTCTGAAAACAAAAACCATTGAAACGGGGAGAAGGCAGGGTGTTTTATGTAGGCCTGTGACTCTAGCTAACCGACATCTGTGAGGATAGTCAGTATTTTTCGGGCTAGGTATAGCGTCTTCCTGTATTTGTATAAAGAAGGATGTTTAACCAGATATGTATATACGACATTAATCTATTGTACAAAATATGCAAACAGGGAGTGTTTTGGGCGTTATTTATGGCTCTTTCCAAACGACATCTATTATTTTCTTTCTGTGTATGGGATATTACTAAAGGAAGTTTTGTAATGATATCATTAAAACTAAGAGTAAACAGGGTTTGTTGTAATATTATCATCAAACACATTTCACCACAATACTCAATAATTACTGTAAAATAAAACGTATTTCATGTAATATTGATACTAGGGCGAGACCCGAGACCTTTTACTTCTATATTCAATATCTTTTCAACGTCTTTATCTAGTCTCTGTCCTTGGCAGGATGTGCATCACATATTCAATATTCGTAGCAGTACAAACAATAGATCCTCAACGTTTTTCCCTGCATAGACTGGACTGTAAAGAGGTTTTGTAAACTTTGTATGTATATCAGCAACACCGTTAGCATCAATTTGCACCATTCCAATTTTCAATCAGACATCCGTGGTTCTTGCAATTCCACTAAAACTAAGCGTTATGTCTCCACTATCCGCTAACTGCTAACAATATCTAAAGGCCTTTAGATTAGTGAATTCCTTAGTAAATTTTGTTGTCCCACTTTCTCAAAAATCTCCCTTTAAACAAGTTTTACCATGGGTCGGGTAAAAACCAGGGGTTTAATAACTGATGGATGGTATTCAGGTGTCACGAAGAGTAAATAGAATTCGTTATATACATCTATTTTCATTGTAATCATTTCATAGTTGTATTGGTCCATATTGAATACAGGGATATTAAATTTTTCTTGGGTTACAGTTTACAGGACACCTTGACTTTTCTGTCAGACTGGAGTTTTCGGTCTCCTGAAATTGGGAACGGATAATCCATGAGAGTTCCTTTGGTCAATGTCGGCAGACAGAGAGGATTCCCGTAAACCAAAACTGTTATGCTTGTGAAAAACGTTGTTGTTTCTTTCTTTTCAGATGGCAGGATTGTCTTTTTGCTTAACAAGACTGTGCCAATGCATCTGATAGCCAGTTGGACACATTGCCAAGAATATAACTAAATGATAGGTCCGTGGCTCCCAAACTTCGGACCCCTGGGGCAATCAACTGACCTAAAAATTTTGTTTCATCTACATTTCCAGCATGGGATGATGTGAGGTTCTCTCACAATTTTAAATAAATTCTTCTCCTATACACCAATTGGCCACACCCTGACACTCTAGTCCCACACCCCCAGATACTATCCATTTTTCAAAAAAATCCAAAATTGAAGGCAGACGTAACAGGTGCGAATGATGAAAAGATCTGATAACGTATGGACACGACGGTTTCTGATCACAAAACCACAGGTGAGAAAAACAGATTATATAAGAATTATGACACAAAATTATGATTTGTGGTTTAGGGGTTGCTTGTAGCGATAAAAAAGGGCTTTTTTTATTTTTGGTGTGTAGCTAGCGTTCCCTGAACGATCCTCAAATATTTCTATAGAAATTTAGAACGACATTTTTCCGTCAAAAGGATCATGCACATGACTTAAGACATTAAATTTTCATCCCGATTTGATTTGTCATTAAAATTCAAATCTTCTAAAATCGGTTATTAACCAATCACAATAGACTTAGCATACCACGTGACTAGCCACCGTGACGGTTTCATGTGCCAATTAAAGTAGCGGTAAACCATTGTCCAGAATGTCAAGTACGGGACTCTAAAACTCTCCCACCCATAAACATAATCACAACAAGAACTTTGTTTTCTTTCCGGATTATGATTTCAGGGTCACCGTTAGGGTTGTGGTCGTAAAAAAATCAAT